TTTATACAGATGATTGGAAAACATCTAGCAATCAAACAAATGAATTCTGGACAGGAAAAACAGTCTTCTGTTATGGACAAGATGGACCTGACAAATTCAAGCAGTTTGCAATGGCAAGCAAAGCCAGACCAGGACCACATCGCGACAAACGCGAGGCGAAAAAGGAAGCCAAGGCCTCTAAGTTCAGGGGGGTTGAACACGCTGTGAAGAACAAAGCTGGCGTCATGGCCAAGCCCGTGAACTTAGTGAGGTACGACATGAGCGATTTCCTGGGGTCCTGTGTAGAAAATTACTGTAATCTTGCAAAAGTCAGCCCATCGTCCTTGAAAGAGGTGCCAACACCATTCACAGATGCTGGCATCGCACGGCCTACACTCAGTGAAGATGAAAAGCCTGGCAAACTCCAGCCAGTGGCCAGCAAAATCCTGATGAAGATCCTATTTGCCGCAAGAATGGCAAGGTTCGATTTGTTGCGTGCCACACAAAGCTTAGCATCAAGAGTGACAAAATGGTCCATAGAATGCGAAGTTGCCTTGCACAGATTGGTGTCATACATTAACTGTACAAAGCACCACTTCCTAGAGGGTTTCATTGGGGATGCCTTTGATGAATGCCAACTCTGGCTTTTTGCCGATGCAGACCATGCAGGCGAACATGATAGCAAGAGTACCACCGGCAGTGCCATTGTGCTTGTAGGCCCCAACACGTATTACCCCTTAAACGCATTCAGTAAGAAACAAACGGTTGTTGCCATATCTTCAACTGAGGCTGAGGTAGTTGCCGCAAATCACAGCATGAGAGCTGAGGGTATTCCGATGCTGGCCCTGTTTGAGCAGTTGAACCTTTTCAAGAAGCTACAGGGCAAACCAGCTCGCGACGCCGCGAAGCCCCAAGAAGATGCTGTGTTCACCAGAATCGACCCCGAAATTGATGAAATCCGTAATGGGAATGTCGATACGGGTTGTAGTGTTGCGGATATCAACTCCCTCAAAGCCAGTTTCCCTGAATTTTATCAAGTCAAATTCATGGAGGACAACCAAGCGACTATCACAGTCATGTCCACCGGTTCATCAGCATCCATGAGACACATGAACAAAACACAAAACATCAACTTCAAATGGTTGAAACAACAATTTGAATGTAAACAGTTCGATCTTCTCAACGTAGGAACCAGTTTCCAAGTTGCAGACATTCTTATTAAACCCTTTACCCGACCAGCCCTTTGGTTGCATGCCATACATCTCATTGGCATTGGCCCGACAAAGGTGGAAGAAGCAGCAGCCCGCCACACCGCGGCGCCGAACTCCACTAAGGTGCCAAAACTAGCAACCGCTGCCGGGAATCAGGGGGGCTCCCAAAAGTCTTTTAAGCCCAGAATGCTGATCGAATTTTGCTGCTCTGATGATTCGAAGCTTAGTACCCCAAGAAAGTCCAATGAAGATTGCCACTGCATTAGGGTTACCGAAAAGGAAGATGGTACCACTATCAGCTGTCGGCAACGGCTAGCCTCCCAAGTCCAGGATTTCAGAAATGATTTCAATGACGGCACTTTGATACTTTATGCATCATTGCCTTGTGTTGGGGGTAGCCCATGGGGGAACGTAAATGGCCTTACTGTTGAGGGTCAGGAAAGAATCAAAGAGCAACAAAAACAGTTTACCAAGTTGTTCAAATCTTTCGTCAAACTTGTGGATGAAGTTTATGATGAACGAACCTTGATAGCATTTGAACTGTCCAAGAATTGCAAATATTGGAGATGGCCGATGGTTAGAAAATTCCTTATAGAACGATCCATGACTACTCATCACTTTGATGGTTGCATGCTGGGTGTTCTTGGAAACAACGGCCAACCGATGAAGAAAAGTTGGACCATTGCGGGAAACTTCAAAGAACTTGCGGTGTTAGACTCATTTAAATGTGATGGCAAACATGAGCATGATCAAAGTAGGGGCAAAGCTCTTAAACTTGCCGAGAACTATACCTTCAAGTTGACTGACATGCTCCATGAGTGTTTCCGGGTAGCTGTGGTGGGCCAAACATCCAAAAGGATTTCACCCGCTGTCATTCGTGCCTGTCCTGCTAAAATGGCTGACTCGCGATATGCCACAGCACACCCGGCCAGCCGCGAGGCTGCGCTCGAAGCCACACGTGAGGCTAACAAAGAAGCATGGTTGCTCCTTCACAATCGCATTTTGTTTTCACTGGCCATGCGCAATGAAGGTGAGAATCAGGTTGCTCAGGACCTCGTGGATGGATTGATGACCGAATGGACGCCGGCCTCGGCCCTGAGGTTCTACGGTCGAGAGGATCCGCTTGCAGAATACCTTAGCTTCTGCTTTTTGCCAAAGGAGTCCCACATCGAAAAGATCATGTTGCCAGAGATGCCTGTCAATGAAGTAATCTGGATCTTAGTCTCTGACTCGTCATGTGCACTGATCACAGGGCGTAGGAAAACACTTAAGAAATACGATCTGTCCGAGCATTATCGACAGCGTAAGCCTAAGTATGTGACTGAGTTCATCCATGAGATGCTTTGGGGCAAAACTCTGCAGAAGTTGGTCAAACGTGGGATTGAATTGGCCGCGGACGCCCGCGAGCGCTACCCTGATGCCCGTATCAACCTGCATTTGTCCTGGTTCGGAAATGAATTGGTAGGTGAGGATGGGATTGCCCAAAATCCAAATTGGCCATACGACGGTCCCAACGGGCACTGGCCCACGATCATGGATGATTGTGAACGCCATTTGACTTGGTTTGTCAACAAAGCCCGGGAGTTGGACTTGCAATCGGCCGGTCTCACCACCGCGCCCTGGTCTGCTGACTATGGTATTCATCCGATTTTTGACCAGTTCTTTGAAGCATTGGAGCCAAAATTCAAAGCCTTGACCAGCAGCCTGCAAGGGCTTGCCAACCCGAAGTTTCCATGGTTGCGTGCAAAGGGGTACGCCGATGCAATGGAATTCAGAGACCAGTGGCATTTCGCCAACTCTGAAGAAAATCGCACGCGGCTCTCAGCATACTGGATGGCAACTTTGTTTGCCATTGACTGTGGATGGCGGGTTGGCCGAATAGGTCTTGAGCTTGCCCAATGTGGCCAGGAAACATGGGATGATTTGCGGAGGAACATGAGCGCCGTCCTCGACGAGCTGCCAAGATCCTATCAGGAGACATGCGCAAACATCACCAAGTTGCTCTTTGGAGAGTCCCGACGACACATCACGCCGACGGGCAGGTCATTCACCAGGGAGGACGTTGAAGCTCAACAACCAGACACCGAGGACTACATCGACGTCAAGACGATGCCCGAAGGAACTTTTGCTGAGCCTCCCAAAGAAGACCCTCCAAAGGCCGCCGGCGACGGCGAGCCCGCTGCATCCAGCAGAGCAACAATCATGGTCCAAACGGCTGAGGTCTTGTTGAAGTCGGGACCGAAAGCAGCACCGATCCCAGTGGATGAGTCCGCAGATGACACAAAAGCCACATCAAGCCAGTACCAGCCGCGGGCAACCGCGCGCTTGCAGGAGTATGCATCCGGCCACGTGAAAGCATATTGGATGGAAGAGCATTTGCCTGAATACCAATATACAATGGTGACCAATGCAGACGGGGACGATGTACCCGGAATCCTGTTTGAAGGTACGGCTTATGAATTGGAGCTGCTATCGGCATCCGACGTCGAGACCATTGCTGGCCAGACTCGCGTCGACAAGAAATTTTCTGATTTCGCAACCCGTGTCAATAAAGTTTGCAGGGGGCATGGATCCTGTGCCAAGGTACCAATGGACAAAGACCTTTGGATTGACTTGGAGGATTTTGCCAAAGCCTTCCGCAAGGAAGTGCTCCCAGACGTTTTCATCACCGTCTCAAACCTTTTTGGCACTGCGATGAAGATCGACAAGCATGGCAAGAGTAGGTTCCAATTCTTGTGTGCAAAGATCTCCCATTTCCCTGTCGACAATGGCCTAGGCATGCCGTATTACCCTGTGAAAATTCGTGCAATTCAGGGTCATTCCCAAGCTGCTTTGAGTACCGCCGGGGGCCTCTATGCCAATTCAACCATGGTGTATTGCTCAGACCAAGTTTCCCCCGAGCGAAAAGCCGCCTTCACTGGCGTGCCCCTGTGTGCCATGACTGAGGTCCCTGAAGTTGTTTCGCACGATGAAAAGCAGCTGGAAGAGCATCGCACAGAATGGCCTGATTCCAGGCGGCGGTGCAACAGTCAACAGTGGCCGTGCTCATATCTACATGGCAGAACACTGTATTGGCACGCAGGGATATCGATCTGGATTAAGAGCAAAATGTCCAATCGAAGTCAAAATCGCAATGCGGCAAGCAGTTGAAGCTGGTGTCATCTTTAGTCGCACAGAAATGGATGGGATTTTGTGCTCAGAACGCATCCCACCGCAGTTTCTGGTCAGCATCTCAGAAGAAGGACAGGTGCTTTGGTCCCGCGCCGAGAGCAATCTCGAGCCCAGCTCATGGACTGGCGCGGCATCAGCCTCAGCACCGAAATCCAAAGCGGTCACCTTGACTGCCCGAGATGATGCAAATGACGACCCAATGGATGACACCAGCACGGGGCGACCCGATGCCAAGTCCACTGATGATGATGCAGCCACTGCCCCGATGCAAGTTGACCAGCCGCCCGCAAGGACGCGCCGTGTTTACATTGCACCCAAGTACTGCGAACCTTTCATGGGCTCCTGTCCCCTCTGCCAGGTTGAGTACGTCAGTGGCCAAGTGACATGCACCACATGTGGGTTTGAGCCACTCCCAGTGGACGAAAGTGGCGATACAAAAGAGGCCAACAAACCCAACAGGAGGACCCGTATCCTTGAACGGCGAATGCAAAGTCTCGCCGGGTTCGGAATGTTTGGGAAGATGAGCGGAAGCTTGCTGACAGCCTTGACGGAAGAGCAAGCCAACCTGCTACGCCGAGAACTGGGCCCCAGGGGAATCACATCCGTGGAATCAGCAGTCCTCAAAGACTGCCGCGACAGGCATCGACGTGCAAAAGCGCTGGGCTACGAGGACGTGGAAGACAGATACTCCAGCGACGTCACTTTTTGCGACCGCATCCACGGTGAGGGGAAGGACCTGCAGGACTGCATATTCGACGACATGTTCGCATATGGCAACCTCCCCGATCCCCCAAGGACCAAAGCTCAGATCTCGGCTGGCGTCGCCGCCAATGCCCAAAATGAGAACTGCTTATCTAAGTTGATTTTCATGTCTCAGCCTCGAGGTGTTGATGGTTTCCCAGTTGAGTTCCGCAAAACATGGAAGAAGGTCTGGGGTTTCATGTTTGGCCGCCACATTTTTACAGAGGATGAATATGTCAGCTACATCGGCCGTCGTGGCGCATTCCGTGGCCTGTTGACCTGGAAGGGTACTGTCCAAGTTCCTTTTGATGGCACTCGTGATTTCCTCGAAAAGGTGTATGAGGAAAACCTTCCCTTGGTTCGGAGCAATCTTGAACGCAAAGAGAAGCAGAGCGCCGCTGCAAAGGCTGGAGGTCCTGGAGGTCATAAGGCCGACCCCACGGTCGCGCCCACCATTGAGCGAAAGCGCAAAGCCGAAGCTGATGCATCCGCAACCGCACCAGATGTCACAGCCGCCTCAAGCTCTGCTCGCGCAGACGCCTCGCACGCTGATGCCCCAGTTGACCCCAACAACGCACCATTTCTGGTACCTGAACCACCAACATCCAAAGCAGGAGCACGACCATTCTTGGAGCCTGAGACACCGCCCACTGCAAAAGCAGCAACCGCAGGAGTCACTTCGAAGGCTGCAAGCTCCGGTCGCCCGGATGCCTCTTGGAGTTGGAATCGTGATCACTATGGTGCACGCCGAGAATGGAGTTTCTGGCGTGGGGCTTGGTATTACCGTGACGAGGCCGGCGGCCGTTGGATCTTTTGGAACCGTTAGGGAGACGATGATTTTCTTTTGTAGCATAGCGCAAGATGTGGCATGGTATTGTGCCTTCCTTGCAACGCTGCGCTGGGTTTTACGGGCTTGAGCTTTTTAGAGGGACCTTTGAAAGACTGCACAAAATGTCTAAAACCAACTAAAGAAATTTGGCTACCCGCGAGGGTATGCTTTTCTGGGTTATTCGTTCTCCGCAGTCGTCCCTGCTCGCCCGAGGGGGGTGTAAAAACTCCTGCAGTAAAACCATGTATTGTATATATCATCGATCTGCCCGATAGCGTTGGTTCAAAACAGAGCTAGCAGCTTAGCGGATTTGAGGTTCACCCCATTGGTATTAACCCAATTGTTGGCTGACCTTGTAAAATACAATCATGTTCCCTTGTAGAAAAAATGTCGAATCATGGGACATCCCAGATTTTGAGGCGAACTCAAATCGGATGAGGGACAAAAATGATGAGTGAACCTTTCAGTTTCATAGGCATACCAGGCCGAAATTTCACGACGTGGAAGCATGTGGAACCTTCATTTCCCATAGGATCCATGGTGCTATATAAAATATATATGGTGTGCCATGGATCCCATCAACAAAAACCCCAGTCATTTTTTGGCATTTTTCTACCAGCACCGACAAACCGGATCCCCCCGTCATGGGTATTGAATCTCTAAGATCCGAAGGTAGCGAACTACCCACGAATCGTAAGTGGGTTAGTGAACTACCCAGTTTTTTGAGTGGATTAACCCGCTCCAAAAATCCCATGTCAATCACTGGGGTTATAACCCACTTATTAAGTGGAATGAGCCACCAAGTAGACATCCACAAAGATCATCGGTTAGACGCTCTTGTGGAATTTGAATGATCATGTTTTGACTTTGATGTTTAATCGATCAGCATGACATCGTCAGAATTTTTAGCTCCAGCTGCGTCCCATCAAACGCGACCCCAATCTGCTCCAATTTTTTTGGCAGCTTCTGGGATGAATGATTGAAGTAAAGTTCAGATTGATGGTCATCCATGGTCATGACAGTCAGAGGTTCTTACCTCCATAGTCCATCTTTTTATTTCGTTGATCTTGAAGAGATTTGTTCTCCCGAACAAAGGTTCCGTTCACTGAGAAATTTCCGCAAATCCAAGCATTTGGATGTTGCCTCAGTGCTGAGACTGACACAAAGATCTTGCTTCGCTACTTGAAAATTGAGGGGGGACACCCCTAAATCATCCTAAATCATCCGAAATCATCTTAAATCATCCTAAATCCACTAAGACCAGTTAAGCATCATTTTCGCCTTCAAGATTGCCATCATTCCGGCTGGTGTATACGCCGCGGCACCGCCGCCCATGATTTAGGTGAAGATCGCAGCATGGCTGAGCCCATTTGCATCGACTTAGATGACGAGGTGCCGTGCCGCCATGGGGGTTTTTTTCAGGGGCTGATGAATCTGGGTAAATTATAACGACCTCACTGTTCTCCCTCACTAAAATCATAGTTAGTAAGGGGAATCATTCCAAAATGGCCTTAATTCAGGTTAGTGAAATATTATAATTTACGCAGATGAATTCAAAAACCACCAGCGGTAACCAAACATGGCTGGAACAGCAGGACTGACCGTTTTTCGAATTTCTGGCCGAGTGCATTTCGCAAAACATTGACCACGGAACAGCATTATCTTCAGACTGGAGATGTGGAATCTAGCCACAGATTGATGATGGAGCTGTGTAACGTTGAAACGTGGTAAGCCCAAATACATATTTTTTTTTTGGGGGGTATGGTGTTGAATAATGTTAATACCACCGCAAATAATAGGGTACATTAAGTGGTGCCCCCTTGGCCACGAAATCGCGACAAGTTGGTGAACATGACTCCAATTTCAAGAACTGGTTATGGTTCAAAAATAATTATACTTACTGGGGATTAGAAACCAACGTTCACATAAGGTAAGTAGGTTGAAAAACCTCCAATTTCACCAGGGTTTATTTAGGGACTATATCTATAACATTCTAATGGCGGGGTTTATAAACCAACGTTCACCTTACATTTTGGGGCCCCACATTGTAGTTGGATGGCAGCAGGACACTTGGCGGCCGCCAGACCTCCTATGCGCCTTGGCTGACGCAAGGCTGAACATGGATAGGTTACCCTCTGGTATTGACTAACAGTTCGCGAACTTGAACATGGCCATTCAGTTCGTTACCCATGAATAGCATGGTGATTTTCCATGGTTTGTTTGTTTTTCCATGAGGGACTCCCCGCATTGTCCTTATTTTTCCTTGGTAAAACCACAATTTCATGGCCTCATTGGCTCCAAGATCAGTCCAAATCCAAGGCGAGCTCCTGTTGCCGCAGCAAGGTGCCAGGGCCATGGGAAAGTCATGAGAAAATCCGTGGAATTTATGGTTTCAAACCATGAAAGCTGGTGCCCTGCCTACTTAAGTTTTATAGTTGATTTACCCATTAACAATGGTGATTTTCCAATATTTTCCATAGTTATTTGTATGTTTAGCAGAGGGTAACTTTAACTTAACTAGGGTTAGTGGTAGATACATCTCTAGTTCGATGTTTTTTTTTTCAACCAACTATAACCAACTGTGGTGGTCCCCATCATTCACCACCTTGTGTTGCACATTTTATTATCCCTGCACGGGTTGGTGCACCAACATATTCCATATTGTTTGGTCCATAGGATTTACCCTGGCAATCTTCAAAGGAACGTGATTTTACCAAACTCATCGCCCCGTAAAAGGTGAAATTTCTAAATACCCACCAGATGGACCCCCAAGATTAGATGCATTATTGGACGGTCGAACAATATTTTTGGAATGGGGAAATAGTGAAACAGCACCAAGCAGATGTATCCTGATTTTATCAGTTTTTTGCTATTTGCCATGTAAACCCATGCTACTTAGAATTTGGGATTAATACATGATCATAATGTGGATGAAGGAAATCCTGCATCACCTTGGATGGTTGAAACCTTATAAATAATGGGATTTTGCCCACCTATCAAGAGGTGCAGGATTTCGCAACCATCCACCATACATCAATAAAAAACACGAACTTGGACAATTGGGGGTCTTTTGATCTATGAATTAAAGCCCCCAAAAAGAATAATTGTATAATACTGTAAATTGTATACAGTCTATTGGATAAAAAACAATAGGAAGCCCCCAACAGATTCAGGAAAGGAATCAATTCACCCCTATCTCAATAGTTATTTTGCGCCATTAAGTAGGTGAAACATATCCAATAAACATACTCCCTTTATATCCTACCAAATCCCATGACATCACCATTAAATCACATGAAATCACCATGACATCTCCTTAAAATACAATTTTTGGGTGGTGAATAGGCCCTGTTCCAGTTTTTTTTTTGGACTCAGCCCTAGGTGGTGAGAAACGTTCGGCTGGGGTGCTCGGTTTTCTGGTAATTTTTCCAGTGGATTCACATCCAAAAATTCCTGGATCCAGTTTCCAACCTGTGAATCATTGCCAGATGGTATCTCCAACTTTAGATTATAGATGATAAAGTGGATGTTCATATATCCGTTTTTTGGAGGTTTCCTAAGTAGTGGGTTAGTTACCCCCAAATAATCCAGTCGTCATGGATGACCGTATGACTTAGTCTTGAAGCCTATGGTGACTTGGGGCTTCCCCATTTTAAGACCCCCCATATCCCCCCATATTCGGATTTTACCCTCTGGTAAACATACAAAAAACTGGAAAATCACCACTCTAATAGGTAAATCATGGTAAATCAACGAACTCAATGGCCCATTTTCAATAGCTTTCTGTATGTTTACCGGAGGGCATCATTTCAAATCAAGGACTTTGACGATGGTGTGGAAACTCCCAGGATTTCCATCTCAACTGCGGCTGACAAAAAACCATGGTTGACTATAGCTACTGTATTAAGAAGCCTGCATATACGTTCAGGATCGTTCAGGTAATTCAGCATAGCTCTGAAAAATCAGTTTTTTTTTTTGAAGCAGCACGATTTTTCATAGTTATGCCGCACTGCATGTTGTAAAAACGTAATAAGCACCATTTTTCATCGTGATGTTACGTTACCAGAGGCCATTTGAGCAGTGGCTGCGATCCACCCCTGGCAGGGTTGATGAGTTGGGGGATGAAACTATCTACCCAATGTATTGGGAATTAGAACAATCCAAAGAATGGGGAATCCCTATGAACCAACCAGTCAATGGGAATTCCAGGATCCTAAAATGGAGGTACGTTAGTACCATATGTTTGGCCATATTTTGTAGGGATATTCCCTGAAAAATAGGCCTAACAAATAGGCCTTATATATGTTAGGTACCTCTAATTTAGGTTCCTGAAATGGCCATTGATCCAGTATAATGGAATGATAGAGAGATGGCTTGAACACTGCTCATTTATAGATGTTTTTTCCAGTAAAACCTCCATTGAGGATGATGAATTATGAATAAGTAGTAAGCCACATGTTTTTGATGCCACATGTAATAAGTAATAAGCTACATGAATTCTGAATAAGTAATAAACAACATAAGTAATAATAACACCTCCATAGTTATGTTAAATGGGTCATTTTCAATAACTATGTCAGTTTACCAGAGGGTAAACCTCCATTTTCCTATGGTTTTCCTATGGTTTTCCTATGGTTTTCCTATGGTTAGTCATTATGGCCTCGGCCGCTCTGCGCCACGAATCTTGCGGCTGAGGTGGGAGAAGCAACCATTAAGCAGATCTCAGGTGTCGCCAGACATTGGGCCATCAAGTTTTTCGTGCAGATGTAACTATAAACTATAGTATAATATACAATTAGTACTATATACATTATATAATACTAAGTATATGGTAATACATAAATATTGGTAATTGGTATATATACAGAATATCTGAGTCATACATAGTATATAAACTATTAGTATTGGTAATAACTATTGTGTACTATAGTTATAGAATACTATAGTATTTACTATGTTATAGTATACTATATATATATTAGTTATACTATTGGTAATAACTATTGTAACTATAGAATATCTGAGTTATAGAATATCCTGTGAGAATCCATGAAATATATGGAATTACCCTCTGGTAATGACTAACATAGCGAACTGGAAAATTGCCATTTATAGTTTGTATACCTATGAGACATGGTGATTTTCCAGTTCGCCATGTTAGTTTACTGGAGGGTACCCTCTGGTTATTTAACATAGCCATGGAACATCACCATTTTTAGTTCGGTAAACTATCTAAAACCAGATGGTATAAAATATTGGTAATACATAGTAAAAAAACTGTAAAAAAAATAGAATATCTTAGAGTTATTGGTAATATTTCTACTATTCTATAGTGTTTGCAAATCTGAGTTTTAACATGTTATAACTATTGGTAATATATATATATATACACATATTTGGTTGGTGGTTTCAAACATTTTTACGTTCCATTTCATATATGGGATGTCATCCTTCCCATTGACTCATATTTTTCAAGATGGTTATTGCACCACCAACCAGATATATACATCTATAACAAAGTTCAACAGGACGGGCACTTTGGATCTATTTTTTTCTTGGGGCTGACGATACATTTAACGTTTTCTTGGACGGCATAGTAGTGATGAAAATGCCAGCCTTTTGTCAGTTGCGCCTGTGGTTCAAGATATTTTTGGGATCCAATGGGATATTGGGATGTTAATATTTGGAAACCGCATATTAGGGATATGTGAATATTCTGATATTGGAATATGGGATATCTGAAATATTTGGGGTATTTGTCCATCCAGAATTTTAGTGTCAGGTTATGTAACATCAACTTTTCACATTTCTTAAGCATGAATTAACAAATTTTCCGTTGATCAATTCAGGGGGCTCCCGCCAGAGGGTAATGCTGGCATACTAAATGGCAACACCCCCCAACAATTCACCATTTCCAACAACCCCAAAAGTTGTTAATTCGGGATTGACTGTGCACCAAGATTGACCCACGGACAAAGTGACAAGCACCATTTACAGGTAACAAAGGTCAACGGTTACCTTGTGTGTGTCGTGGTCTAGAGTTGCACTATATACATTGGTTGGTGATTTCATTGGAATACCCTCTGGTAAACTAACATAACTATGGAAAATCACCATTTTCCATGGGACAATCCACTATAAATGGTGATTTTCCATATTTTTTTGTATGTTTACCAGAGGGTATATCCGTTATAAGGATTCCTCGTATGGGATATATAGGTAACCATACTCCATTAAGCCCATGGTTTGACCATGGCACGCGTGTAGTTGGCAAACTGCTGCCCGAACTGCTTGCCAGTTTCGGAGACCGTGACAGACTTGTATATATAAACCTCCCCACAATGCATCCATGTGGATCCAAATGGATTGAGATCCAAATGGCAAAATGACGCGCAAGTGTAGTTATTATATCATTATGGTTCATTTTCCATGTGTAATTACTTTAATAGAAATCTTAAAAGTTGAAAAGAATGGACGATTTTGTCCTTTTGGGGGTGACAACAGCAACCAGTCGGAGTTCTTGAGGGAGTAGTCGATCCTAGGATCATGTGGATGACCGAGCCGTTTTGCCCACGTTGATAGCGTCTCTTTTTGGTGGATTTTGAACATCAGCTTCAAGCATATGTAGGAGATTATATTCTGTTGGGTCGCGCGTTGGGTTATGTTTAATTAATTAGTACATTTACAAAATCTTGTAAATTGAGGTACAGTACAGTAGATACCTCCCAAACATGGATGGTCATCATCATACTCAAACATGTCCAGTCCAAAATCCAAGAAAAATCTTTGGATATTATGATGGCTTACATTTTGGATCCTTATTATGGATCTATATGTGATCAAAAATCCATGGATCGAACATCCAGAAAAAAAATCCATAGCCCAACTTGGTGCCTGTAAATTGTTGATCCCCCACGGTACATCCTTCAAGATCATGCAGGTGATGCTGGGTGCGCAGCTCAGTTGGGGATTTACCCTCTGGTAAACTGCCACATAACTATGGAAACTCACCATTTTTAATGGGAAAACTCACTATAAATGGCCATTTTCAATAGCTATGTTAAATTACCAGAGGGTAAGGGATGTCTTTTTTTTTTCGATTGAATGCACCCAATGACAATATCCAGAAAATCCAGTACAGGATGGGGCGCCAGTTCGTTAGCTAAGTTGGTGAACAGAACTATAACAACAATAGTGTGTGATACTTAATAATTGTATTTAGATGGGGTTATAAATCAACAAACATCTGCCTGGGGGGCACCATCCAGTAGAATGATCATCAGATTGGACTCAATTAGGATTTCGAGTTGAAGTGGAGGGTATCCCCAAAGGGAGCCCCAAGAGAAGGTGGTTCAAGAGGTGGTCAGGAAGCACGGAATCACAGCGACTTTCTGGTGGAACATGGTGAATTTCAGCCCTCAAAATCATCCCTTGAAAATATGAGAATGACAATCCCAACTGACTTTCACTCCATCATTTTTCAGAGGGGTAGGGCTCAACCACCAACCAGATTATTATAAACCATATATAATAACCATATATAATAACCATATAATAACCATATAATAACCATTCATAAATTTCAGCCACCCCTCACCAGAAGCCCTGAGCCCTGCTCCGATGTTTTTTTATTTTTCTGGATCTCAGGATGGCACTGTCCTTTTCAGTGGTCCCGGAGGCCTGGTAGCCGTAGCCATGGAGACCTGGAATTTATCTCCCAGGGGAAATGAAGCCAGGGGTCATAGATGTCCTAGATATCTTGGGATATCCCGGAAATATGGAAATATATACTTATTACATCTTACTACCATAGATGTCCCAAATTCCCATTGCTTGGTTGATGAAAAAAGAGGGCTTTGAAGGTTTACCCCTTGAACAACAGGTTTGTTTGATGATAGATGATGATAGATGGTATACCAAACCGGGCCCTCTATTTTTACCAAAAGGACATTATTGGGTGTAACAGAAAATCAAACCATCCTGGTTTCACACTTTTCGACGTCTTTTTTTGGGGTCACCCTCTGGTGGTTTGCTGGAAAATTGCCACACGAAATGGAGATTTCTAGGGAGCATCATCGAATTATCGAGCAAAAAAGGGACATTTCCAGCCATGGCAATGATTGTAGCAGGGTGCATGTCATGATATTCCATGATTATTCCATGATCATAAACACCCCGATGAACTGTGGTCTCAATGATGTAAACAAATTCCCAACAAACAACCATGGTTTTGAACTTGGGTGTGTTTAGTACTGTATTAGGGGGAAGGGATTGTATCCCCATTAAACCACCACAAAAATCTCAGTTAAATCACCGTGGCGCCTGTCCTTCGAGGTTGCGGTCCCCGTTCTGTTCTGAAAGAATTGTCACAATGGGTATCAAGCTACATGTTCGAACAAAAAAAACAAAAAAATAAACGGCATAGGCATATATACGTTATACGTTATACATTAGACATTATACAGTATAATACAGTACATATATATATATATACATATGTCCGGCTGAAGTAGCATATCTATTTTTTTTCGAAAGCTTCCGCAAGAGGCTATACATCCCCGGGGCGCCCTAAGTACCAGAAAAAAGTGTGATATTCAACAGAACCTACTTTTTAAGATCCGGGATGGGAAAGACTTGAAAAATTGAAATATAGCAATTTTTGTCATTTCAGGGGTTCTCGGGTTTTTCACACGCTTTGGCCGCCCTTTCCATTACATAGTAAGTATGTCAACTTGGCAGAAGATATGAAAAAGGCAATCCCCACAAAAATTGGTCGAGATGTCTGAGCTAAACTCTCACGACAAGTTGAAAACAGGTTTGCCAGAGATTTTTTTGTGGAAACCCAAAAAAAAACCCGAAACATTGATCGCGGAAATTTGCGGGAATATCGCAATTTGACAGATTTTTCAACCATTTCCCATAGGATCCATGGTGCTGGTATGTATGCTAACATAAAGGGGGTATATTGATGGGATCCATGTTACCATCTATAGCAGCACCGTTAGGATCCTATGGCTTTTAAAACCAACATTTCCAGCATGGCCATGGCCCAAAAACTCCAAGACCTTGCCTTACTGAAAATCCCAAGCAATTCCCCGAATCAAAAGGTGCCCAGACTTTATTGGAACGAGGCGGTGCCGAACCGCGGCAAAATCCATGGCATTTTTTTGGTTTTCCGCGTTGAACAAACCAAGATGGTCCATCGCGTTTCCTGGTATTTATTTCTTTTTGCAGTGTGTATATATGATACCATATATACAAAGTGGGGCCCCCTAGATAGCTAAGTTTGTTTATAACTCCAATTTCACTATGGTTTATGGTACTTATATCGAACTAGTTATTGGGGCTTATAGACCAACTTAATTATAACTAGGGGGCCCCTGATTGTACAATTCATCACATTATACATTATATTTATGGTACTATAATGTACTATATATACACTGGTTGGTGGTTTCAAACATTTTTTTTTCCATTTCATATATGGGATGTCATCCTTCCCATTGACGAAGTCATATTTTTCAGAGGGGTTGAAACCACCAACCAGGTTCTTATCAACCATCATTAACCATATAATAACCATATATTAACCATTTAAGACCACCAACCAGCTGGTAAATATATAACCAGTACATTAACCTTTTTGTATCTATAATAGTACATGTACTGGTTGATTTTTGTACTGTTAACCATATAATAACCATATATTAACCATATAATAACCATATAATAACCATATAATAACCATATAATAACCATATAATAAGCATATATTAACCAACCACTAACCAACTATATATATTAACTATTTAACCAGTACATGTATAGATACAAAAAGCCGCGATGCCTCGAACTCCGCCATGCACCCGTCAGGCCGGACAGCGAGTGCGGCAGCAGTCTGTGCCAAGCACGGTGCGGATGCTTAGACTTGATCTGCGCCGCAAATGGATGGCTGGTTGAATGGGGATATAAACCAAGAACGATGGATTAATATGTATATGTATATGTATATGTATATGTATATGTATATGTATATGTATATGTATATACATATGTATATATATAATATATATATACTTACATATATATATATGTATATGTATATATATGGCAATTAATGGGATATCAATGGGGATATAATATTAATATGATAGGATAGAAATAGATTTAACCATCAGAAAATGGTGATTTTTCATGACTTACCAACTTTCTAATGAATCTCATCCCCGAGGAGATGTAAAATAGATGGAAAGCAACTGGATGAGTAGTTGAACGGTTGAACCTGAGATATAACGGAATACCCTGCCTGGTAAACATACAAAAAACGATGGAAAATCACCATCTTAATGGGAAAAACAACTATTTCAATGGCAATTTTCAATAGTTATGTTAGTTTACCAGAGGGTAATGATGGGATTTCACCCAGAAATGATATGAATGGACGGAATAGTGGCGAAATCAGCTGAAATTAAACAACCCCAGAAACCCTTTAAAAAAGGGATAAAAACATATATTTGGAATCATAGAATGGGGATGTTTAATATGAATGGGGATTGGGATTATACATAATCTTTGCATGACTTTGTGACTGTCCAAAACTGAAATGATGCAAAAGCTTATCAAATTCAGGTATTCTAAATTCAGACAAATATAAATGGGAATGGATAAACATGTCAAGCACAGGGGACCGGAAATTGTAATATGCAATACTATTTTAAATATCTTTGGTAATAAGGCATGCTATGTTGGGATACTAACTTTGATCATGCCCATATCTGAGAGGGTCATATTTGAAAGTTGCTCCCTATCACAGGTACACTCTGAAAATTCGACTGGAAAGCCCTCTATTTGTGCAAAATTTATTTACAAAGTGAGGCCCCCTAGTTATGTTTGTTGGTTTATAACAACCTTTAACTATAGTACATATCATGTTATATCCCCAGAAGCCATAGAATTCACCAAAATATACCAACTTAGCTATTAGAAATAAACTATATATACCCTCTGGTTATTTAACATAGCCATGGTATAGATGGCCCAGAGAAATAGATGGTTTACCGAACTTAAAAATGGTGGATCTTTCCATGACTATGTTAGTCATAACCAGAGGGTATATATATAGAGTTATATCATGTTATATCCCCCAGAAACCATAGAATTCACCAACTTATAAACCAACTTAGCTATCAGAAATACACTCTATATCTATATCTATATCTATCTATCTATCTATATATATATATATATATCCATATAAAATCCCATCAAATCCCAGCATTTCTCCCAGTGAAACCACCGGATGTTTCCTACGATTTGAATGGCTGCGTTGATGAACACAGGGTCACCCAATTGCTGATCCTTCCAATATGATAAATGATATCTGCAAGTATGCATACATATAGAATACTGTATATATATATATATACATACATAGTATCCCCAAAAAGAGCGAACAGATAATTTATCACTATTTTGGGTGGATTTCTCTTTTTCTATCCTCTTCGGGGCTTGTTATATATGTAGATACATGCTATAGTATATTAGCAGATTTTTTCCATGCCAAGAAAACAACACCGAAAACGGGTAGATTCATCACACGGGCCAAAAAAAAGATGTCCAGGTGATTTCGCACCTCACGGTTGAGTCCACTTCCACGTCAGGGCGGCCCAGGGGGATCCATTCTGAAAAATGGGTGGTAAAAATGGCATTGTTTTACCTGCATTACAAGAATAGATGTGTTTAATTGTGTTTACGTGTACATATATATATATATATATACATAATTATATACATATAATTATATACATATGTAGTGGTGTGTGTTGGACCTACTGCGGTCTGACGTTGTTGATACCTTTTTTTTGGGGGCGGGCAGAAGGACGAATGTGAGGCGGATACTGAGACAAGACTCGGGATATCGCCTTCAACCAGTAGGTTTGGTGATGATAGAAGGTGACCTAAGCCTCTAAGCTGTTCTCAGTTAGTGGATCACTGTTGGTTTAACGAGTGAGTAGCCTCTGGTAATTTAATCTAGTCAGAGAGTCATGGAATATGCCCCATTTATAGATGATTTGCATTGATTTACATTGATTTACCCATTGAAATGGGATTTCTCCAGAATTCTCGCGGGAGTTTTGCCTCTTGAAATTCTCTGTTTAACGAACTTCCACAGCGCTTTTCGTATCGAGCAGATCGCCTCAAATCGCCATGTTCCCAGGATTGTCTTGAAACTCTTGAAGCCCGTCTTCTGGCAGGTGCGGTTTCCCTTAAAAACACCCCAATTTATGGTCCCAAAATTGGGACAATGTCCCACTTGTTTGTGTAAACCCCTAGAAAAAACCACGGTTTTGTTTGTTTGGGGCTGTTTAGTATGTGGAAGGGATGAACATATCCCATTCATATCAGCATTAAGATGGAGCATTTCCCCATGATTCCATAATTAGTTCATACTAGGGCCATATTACATTCATAGTTTCCCCATTCATGTCCCATGAAAGGCGAACCGTACAGTAGTTAGTTGGATATTCCATATGGTTTCCATGGTTTCATTTCCATACATACACTATACATTATACCCTCTGGTTATTTAACATAGCCATGGTATCGATGGCCCATAGAAATAGATGGTTTACCTATTAAAAATGGTGATTTTCCATGGCTATGTTAGTCATAACCAGAGGGTATATATTTCATGGTTTCATATTACGCCATATTACGCCGTAATATACATCCTGGAATCGAGGATTGGGCTTCAGTTTTTTTTCCTCGCAAAGTCATCTACCAGGCCCTAGAAGAATGGTGCGAGCGACTGCACAAAAAACGGGAAACAACTTCAATAAAGGGGTTTCTTAAAAGGGGGGAATCCCCAATAGCTGGATGGTTTATAATGGAACATCCTATTAAAATGGATGATTTGGGGGTAACCCCATTTTTATGAAACCTCCATATGATCGAAAGGAAGCCCAGATTCTGGCTTTGAATTTGACACCAAGGTGGAGATGCTGTGTTGAAGCGCGAAACAGAAATGAGTCCGGCGGGAAAAAATACAGGCCCCCAGGCTCCAGAGAAAGGAAAGCAAGACGCCCGACTTGAAGGAGTTGCACAACAAGGAAAAACTCGTTGAATAGACTGATGCTTGGTGGTTAATGGTGGTTAATGGTGGTTAATGGTGGTTAATGGTGGTTAATGGTGGTTAATGGTGGTTAATGGTGGTTAATGCTGGTTACTTGACAGATCAGAAAAGGAAGCAGTTCGCAGTGCAGTGCACAGCATATTTTTCCATTCTCCAACTGGCCAATGGGATGACTTCCAGTCCAATGACTTGCATTATCTAATCGTAACACTTCAATCAAGTATAAATCTATAATATATATATATAATATATATATAGATATTAAACATCAATAGACACCATTAGGATTTCAAACTATGATATAACAACGCTAATTTAGGCTTCCTTTTATTTTTTCCACATAACCAGGGGGTGTCCTTAAGACGTTAGATCGGTGGATGGGCCCCTGGGTTATTGCAGCGCATAGGATCTGCAAGGATAAAGATCGGAGGCCTGAAATCAGCGAAATTCTTCCGTTTGGTACGTCTGAAAAATGAATACTTGTCTCTAATTTTTGTACCAAGCAAAAAGGCAGCCTCAATTAATTCATGTCTATTGTTATATCATAGATCTATATATCCGATTCATTCCGATTCCCTCGTGAATAGATGTTACATCAAGGGCTATTTCAGGTCAGTTTATGGGCTATTCTATGTGCATGGTCCAAAGATGGGCGTTCTACCGCACTCGAACGGGAAATCCTATTCAGAAAATCATGATAAGCTGGTTGGTGGTTTGGAACATTTTATATTTTTCAATATATTGGGAACAATAATCCCAGTTGACTCATATTTTTCAGAGGGGTTGAAACCACCAACCAGTAAGCCATCTAATTTTCAGAGAAACCCTAATTTTTATCGTGCATCAGTGCCATAACTTTCATACGGAACCCCACTTGAATGGAGATTGGAAGATGAGCTGCCGCGCAACGGTCCATGGAAACTGCGCAACGATTTTGGAGGAGGGCTACCCTCTGGTAATGACTAACATAGCTATTGAAAATGGTCCATTTTGTTCGTTGATTTACCCACTAAAATGGTGATTTTCAACAGCTATCTTAGTTTACCAGAGGGTACCCTCTGGTAAACTAACATAGCTATGGAAAATCACTATTTTAATAGGTAAATCAACTATAAATTGATCATTTTCTATAGCTATGTTAGTTTACCAGAGGGTAGATGCCGATTTTCTTGATGCGAAACCATGGATGTAAAGGATTACACCATGGATAAAACCGCCTTTCAATCAGGACCATCGACGGGTAAGAAACAGATTGGGATGTTCGCAATGCTCGCATCGACATGTTCGTCAAGTCCGGCACCTCACTGAATATCTCTGAATCATCAGGTATACCAATCCGGTAGGGAAAATCACCGGATTAAAATGGCTATTTACCATTTGGTTATTTAACATAGCCATGGACAATCACCATGCTATTAATAGGTAAACCATCCATTTCTATGGGCCATCTATACCATGGCGAACTGTTAAATAACCAGAGGGTACATGGGAAAAAGCCGTCAGCTTTCTAATCGCGGATTTTCGCCATGATGCCATGATTCCCAGGGTTCAAGTTAGTACCCTATAGTACGCCAAAACGAATTTGACTCATGACCTTCATTTTTTTGGGGGTTGATTAGAAGTGACTGATAAACTGACCTTCATCCCTTCCAAATCTAATATATTAATATATCTATCTATATATATCTAATCATCCCCCAGCGAAAACATGGTGGCACGGTGGGGATGAAACCATATGAAACCTGTGGGTCCGTGGGCTGTTTTGGCTGTTTTATATGAAGGGATGGGATTAAGAGATTGAGTTGATCAACCCATGATTCCATGCTTGTCTCATGGAAAGTGATACCCGGCCTGGTGAACATACAAAAAACGATGGAAAATCACCATGCTATGTAGCTGGGTAAATCAAGGATTTCTAAGTGGCAATTTTCAAGTTCGCGAACTGTTAAATTACCGGAGGGTAATATTCACCCACAAGGTTTGATTTTTAGGAAGCTTTTGACTCTATGATCAAGGTACGTTGTGTACATTGTCTCTGATCTAAACACCAATTGTCTATTAATTACCACTCCCCCAAGAATACAGTTCGATGACATTTTCCACAAACTCCTCCTGGTTGTGCCATTCTTTGGATCTTAGAGGCTGAAGATATTCCAATGAAATCTCATCGAGTTGGAGAAAATTTTCCCAAGATGTTCCCAAAAGTTGAGACTTTTCCACCGGCAATGAATAACATTTTCCACCAATTGCCACCAATATATTCCACCATTTTCCTACGGAATTCGGATTTCCCATGGGAGCAGACCAACTGACTAAGCAGCTGAGCAGATTTCGAGCAGATTTCCGTCGCCAATCCTGGTGAAATGATCGCAGAGATGTGTCAAGCCTCAATCCTATCCTACGAGTTACATCGAGTTACTATTAGATACTCCCCATATATGGAGGCCAGAAATTGAATAGATCATAATAGATCATAATAGATCATAATAGATCTACGAAATCAGTTTTTTTTTTCCCGGGGGTTGTTGAATGGGTTAGTGGTTGGTGGTCAACAAGGCCTATCGAAAAATCGACCTGGAATGACAAAGGCACGGCAGCTCCATATGAATCCCCAAGAATGATTCCATTCAATTTCAACTACATCATTTTTGATGGTATATTGCATGATTCCCTTCAAATCCAACCATCCCCAATTTTCATGGTAAAATCACATGAACCCACCATTTTATACCATTTTCTTATCATTTTCCCATCATTTTCCCATCATTTTTCACGTGTCATGGTAAAAATATCTCTGCTTCCCATGGCTGCCCCAGCGGTGCCAGGTCTCTGCCGATCAGGGTGATTACTTGGATCACTTGGCGCTGGTCACGAACGAGCCGGAGGTGCCAATGGGAATTTTTCGTTGGAAGATCTATTGGACAAGTTGGGGGCCACATAACTCCAATGTGGGGATGGGTCAAAACCCTTGTACTCCTGGTGAACATCAAAATAGCTGGTAAATGGATGTTCATTCCCCTAAAAATGGTATTAATAGGTTTTGATCCATACCCATGTCACTATGGAAAATAGGTATAAAAATAGGTATATCTATGGTTAATGTATGGTAAATCTATGATTTTATGGGTAAATCTATGGAATATCTATTGGAATATCTATGAAAATAGCCCAGTCGAAATCGTGGATTTACCAATTTCATAGCATGGGAAGATCCATCATGGAATGGGATGATCTATGGCAATGGCAATGGGAATCGAATGGATTAATGGATTGGTGCAAACTGGACCATAGACAGTTCGTTGATTTACCCATTTTCATAGCATGGTGATTTTCCATATATATATATAAAATTATATATATATAGTGGTTGGTGCTTTGGAACCATGGAATTTTGAATGACTTTCCATATGGGAAAACTTGATATCATGGTGATTCTAATGGTGATTCATGGGGAATTCACCAACCAATTCATGGGGTATGAATAGGAAATAGCCTCTGGTATGACTTTCGATATATTGGGAATAATCATCCCAACTGATTCAACTGGCGAACTCCATCATTTTTCAGAGGGGTAGGGCTCAACCACCAACCAGTATGGATCTTCGTAGGATTTAGACAATACGGGGGGCCCCCTTAAGGCCACGAAATCGCGACAAGTTGGGGGCCACATAACTCCGATTTCACTATGAAAAATAGGTACTTATAACTATAATTGCTGGGATTTTTACTGATTTATCTATGGTTAATAAGGAACTATTATGATGGTAAATCTATGGAATATATGGTATATCTATGGTTAATGCATGGTAAATCTATGATTTTATCAATGGGTAAATCTATGGAAGATCTATGGTTTTTATAGGGAAATCATCCCCAAATGGCCGAACTATTCAGGTAGTGAAATATGATAATTTTACACTGATATAATGATTTGTACATGTTTAGGACATGTTTTTCCATCCTTTTTTCCATCTTTTTTTCTACATCTGAAATCATCTGAATGTAAGCAATATATATAAGTGCAAGTTGGTGAACCATATCGGGTTGATGAACTAACTTAATTGGTTAATATAGTCTGGATGAATGATAGTGACCTCACGTCGTGATGTGAGTGGAATGATGGTTAGATTGCGGGAATCATCCCCAAATGGCCGTGTGGTAACAGCTATTTTCAGCTTAGTGAATCATTATGATTCAGCCAGACAAATCAATGGATTGGTTTGGGTAAAATCGAGAGGAAACTGCAGGAAACCATGGATTTTTTGCTAATTTTTTTGCCAGTCATTATTCGGCTTTCCCGTAAATTGATGATATTTCCCATATTGGTACAATGTGGGGCCCCCCAGTCATAAGTTGGTTTATAACCCCCATTAACTATAGATATATCTACCATAAGTCCTAGTTATTAGAGTTATTAACCAACTTAATTAGCTATCTATGGGGCACCACCTTGTAAGTGAATCTTAAACATGGCTTGCTGGAAAAAAATCCACAATAGATTATCACATTAAGTAACAAACACATGGTGCAATTAACCGACGATTTGGAAATGAAAGTACGTAGACTCAGGATGTTATTGTTTCTAATTAAGTTGCAACAAAAATACAAATTTGGGATATGAACTCAGAAACAATAGTCAATAGTCAAATATGGGGTCGGTCATAAGGGTGAAAGAGGGTGTGATGTAGCTATCAAGCAAGGCATCAACAATATTCAGCCACAAATGTTGGGATGTAAATCAGAGATGGGGTCATACAAAGCGATGGCAGAGTAGCCTCTGGTAAACAGCCACATAACGAACTGGAAAATCACCATGCTATTAATGGGTAAATCCGCGAACTAAATAGCAATTTTCAATAGCCTTTTGTATGTTTACCAGGCCGGGTAATTCCCATGCAATATGGGAACCAATATCAACCAGTAAGTTTGTTTTTTTTTTTTTCTCAGGTTTCAGTGACATGATCGTCAGCAAGAGAAACCATCCCAAAATGCTGTCATTTCCTCCAGTGACCTTCTGGTTTTCATGCCGATTTTGCCATGGAAAATCACCATTTCTTTCGGCAAAATCAACCAAAGAATGGAATTCCGCTATGGAAAATCACATTTTTTTTTTCAAGTCTCCGATCCGATCGGTGGTCAAGGCCTGTGCCGCGGTATCACCGATGGCGCCAAATCAACGAGCCTGTTATGACTTGTCTCCTTTCGGAACTCCCACGTCCCACGCATGCTGTAGCCACTGTAGCGGCATTCCGTGGGATGATACTCCAAGGCTGTTAGAAAATGATATTCAGTGGATTATTCCATTCAAAAAACGGGTGGTTCCATTGTGGTTCATTATCCCTCCCGCATGAGTAATAGGTGGTATATATATATAATGAAATATTATGTACCCGGTATATGGATGATATATGATAATTAATATTATATTGGAATATTATATCATGTGGGAAAAAACAATGCCATTTTTACCACCCATGACTGGACATGGTTTATTTGTACCACCTATAAAAATGGTGATGACTGGGGGATGGTTTATGAAGTTGTACCCACATGATTCCATTCAAAAAAACGGCGTGATAACTGTGGTTACAAACCAGTCGGTACTCGTAAGATTATAACCCTGGTTGGTGGTTTCAAACGTCTTTTATTTTCCATAATATATGGGATGATCAAGTCCTTCCAACTGACGAACTCATATTTTTCAAGATGGTTATATAAAACCATCAACCAGCATAACATCACCATTTTTTATGGGTAAATCCACTATAAATGGCAATTTTCAATAGCCTTTTGTATGTTTACCAGAGGGTAACCGGTTGCAATTGAACACCACCCATTTATAGATGTTTTGTCCATTACAACCTCCATTCCTCCATTGGGGGGATCCCAGCAACGTTTGATGACACCAGAGGGTACGTCCCACTTCTCATGAATATTCCATCAAATCCCCATGATATCCCCATCAAAGCACCATGTTTGCTAGTTAAATCATCAAAACATATCATAACTGGTTGGTGGTTTCATTTAAATTTAATTTTCCATAATAATATATGGGATAATCCTTCCCATTGACGAATTCATATTTTTCAAGATGGTTAAACCATGTTAAAACCACCAACCAGCATAACATCACCAAACAATGATCATCAAATCCAGTGGAGCCTATGGGTTTTGCCATCCGATGGGCCTTTTTGGGCCAGTTTCACATGGTGCTGTCGACCTTGCGTTGGTGGTTACCCCATGTGGTGGTTTGGGGAGCCCAGAGTCCGTTGTTGTGGTTCCGGGGAAGTGTAGCGCAGCTCGGCGCAGCGAGCGCAGCTGGGGATTGGAACATCAATGAAGCATTGACTCTTGTGGTTCCCCATTACCCTCTGGTAAACGTTTACATAACTATGGAAAATCACCATGTTGAATGGGAAAATCCACTATAAATGGCCATTTTCAATAGCTATGTTAGTCATTACCAGAGGGTAACCATAAATGGAGTACCATAAACATGGTAAACATGGTACATAAACACATAGTGGTTACTATGGTTTACAATACATACATATTAGAATGGTTTGTGGTATATAAATATTCTAAAATATTATTGTGGTTACTCCTCCTACGAAAAAAACTATGGATTATGGTACGCAAATAACAAACTAGTTACTGTTTTTTTTTGTCAACTTATAACTGGGAGGCCCCACATTGTAGAACTATTAAACTACGATAAAAAAGTACTCAGTAAAGAATTGTGGACATATTATTTGGTTAAGAACCTTAAATACCACTTTGGTTATTCATATTACCCTCTGGTGATTTAACAGTTCGCCATGGTATAGATGGCCCATAGAAATAGATGGTTTACCTATTAATAGCATGGTGATTTTCCATGGCTGTGTTAATACATTTGGTGATGTTGAGGCTCCATGGCTTCGTGTGAAAATAGGGGACTACGGCAGACTACGGTATACCGGTCATTAACCATTTTATACAATGTGGTGCCCCCAAGATAGCTAAGTTGGTTTATAACTCTAATAACTAGGACTTATGGTAGATATATCTATAGTTAATGGGATTATAAACCAACTTATAACTGGGGGGCACCACCTTGTAGGGAAAGATGTGGAAAAACTAAGTGACAAATGGGTGAACTAAGCGACTATTTGTTGGGGTAACCCTGGTTTTGTGAATGGGATAAGGAGGGGCAATCTCCACCTATAACTAGGGTGAACTAACCTACGAGCCGTGGGATGAACCACCAAGTAGAATGGGGGTACCCCCAAAATGGGATGGTATTTAATGGAAAATCCACACTAAAATGGATGATTTGGGGGCACCCCTGTTTTAGGAAACCTCGAAATCAAGCCTTCAACATATTTCCGTTGATTCTTATAGAAGGTTATAGTACCTGGCCTATTGGGGACCATTACTAGCTGTAGAGATCATTGCTACCTATACAATGAGATGGGATAGGGGTATTTTGAATGGCTCACTTGGAACACAACATGTATTTTCAAACAAAAAAAATGGCGGAGACTTCTCAGTCTAAACAATAAAACTTGTGGCGGGCGAAATCCGTGCCCTGGTCGTAGACGGTATCCGAATCCATATGGGACATTTTGGGGAGGATTTTCCTCCATCCAATCCGACCGGTCGGAACGTTGCATCCCCAGTCGTGCCTGGAAAGGTGCAGGGGACTTTACCACAACAGCTGGAGAAGGTGGGACCGTGGGACCTGGGACCTGACCGAACCGATTTCGCGAAATCGCTGGCGAAGTTGATAGGAAGTGCACAAAATAGGCTGAGGCCAGACTAAGTTCAAATGATTTTCTACTGGCCTGCATTGCCTTGTTTGACGAAAATGTGGAGTGATGTCCAGTCCACTTCTGTCTTGAAAGTTCTTGTCAACTTGCTGTCAAATTGGTCTCGGGGTTGTTACAAGAGATTGATATGGGCGTAAGTCCAAAGTAGCACCCCACCAGCTTGGGGTGGCGCAAGCCAGCAAGAAACAACAAATTTTGTGGGTTTGTATTGGTTCCGCATGAAAATCTGCAGCTTAAAACAACCATATCCATCATCAAAAATCCCAACAAAATATCCCAGAGATTAGTCAGATGGATTAACTGCTGCAGGTCAGAAATATCCATGAAAATGAGATGATCCTGGATTCCAGGAAGATTAAATCCATATTTTTATCGCAATCCATCATGACAAAAAACCCAAAATGATCCATGACTCCATGATTACCCTCTGGTAAACAGCCACATAACTATAGAAAATCACCATTTTTAATGGGAAAACTCACTATAAATGGTCATTTTCAATAGCTTTTTGTTAGTTTACCAGAGGGTAATCCATGTTGAATCCAGATGAATCCAATCATTTTCCCAGGATCCGGTGGTGCTTCGACTGGAGGGCATCTCACTTACAGCCTCTGGGCCCAAGAGGACGCCGATTTCTGGAAAAAGGTCATGGGTTTTCCACCATTTCCAGAAGAAAATCATTGGAATTCCGATTTGGATGGGATTTTCATGGGATCTGAAGGAGATTTTGATGGAATTTGAATGGGCTTTTCAGGAGATTATAATGGGATGATGTGATTTTGATGGACTTTGAACGGGATTCTATGTATATTTTTGGTGATTCTTGATTGAATTAATGCAACCAAGAAGAAATAGGGATGTGTTCCCTTGGTTGCACACCCAGGCTTAAACCAATTTGTCGTGGCTTCCGCCAGAAGGATGAAGAAAGTTTGACCCACACATGATGGAAAAAAACATGGTAGAGTGCCAACTCTGCCCGGAAAGCACCCGAAATGAGGGGCCCATGAATAGATCCTAATAGATCCAATACTACAGCGAGTTTCGATTGGGATGTATCTAATCATATCTAATCATTACGGTTAGTACTTGGTGGCTCATCCCACTTAGTAAGTGGGTTATAACCCCAGTTATAAATGGGATAAGTAGGGTTAATCCACTTATAACTGGGGTTACACCCCCCTAACTAAGTGGGATGAGCCACCAAGTATTGAAACATATTGAAACCCATGGGTTTTAAGGAGATCATGACTTCAGAAACCCCATGAAACCCCCCACATCTCTGCTGAGGCCCGAGATATCGAGCTGCTGGGAGATGAGCAATGCCTCAACGACTCGGTAGCGGAGTGGCGGATGGGAATGGCCATGTGCAAAATTTCAGGGCAAAGCTGGTCACTTCCAACAGTTAGTTTCGTTTGTTTAGTTTTTTTTTGAGGGGATTTGATTTGTTTTTCTTTTTTGGGTGATTTGATGTGATTTGTTTAACAGTTTTGGGATTTGTTGAGGAGTCGTGGAAAAAAACATTAGAGTCAGGTGGCAATTTTTGCGGTACGATATGAGTCGGGCAACGAGTTTGAGTTCTCGGGAAAGTCGTTTTGGCAAATCCTTCCCCGAATATGAAACACCCTCTGGTAAACTAACATAAGTATGGAAAATCACCATTTTTAATGGGTAAATCCACTATAAATTAATGGCAATTTTCAAAATCTTTGTTAGTTTACCAGAGGGTACACCCCAATTGAAACCATGGCGTACTGTTCTATTCATTTGGGGTCACTTCTGGGAGGTATTTCGATATTACAGTAAATGGATGGAATTACACTTATCATAGTTTTTTGGGAAAAAGTGGGAGTGACATGATTTGCAAGCCGACGGTTTAATGATGATTGAGGCTTTGGTTTTGAAAAAATGCGCTTCCTTTGCTACATTTTTCAACAACACATTCCCAGGTCATCATAATATGGCAGTTGACAATGCTGAACATGTCCAATTTACAGATCATTTACCCAGCAAATATCGAGATTTTGTCCAACTATTTTCTACTACCATGTTGGATTCGGGTACATTTCCTTGGATTTCCTTGAGATTTCCTGGGATTTTTGTTGAATAAACTATTGACTCTCTGGCCATTGAGGGTGGCTCACGCTGGGGTAGTAGATGGCTATATATGGCTATGGAAAATCCCACAATTGGACTCCCATTAAAATGACAATTGATCATGCAGGATGGTGCCCCCCAGTGATGTGAACGTTGGTTTCTAACCCCCATGAACTAGTTCGTTATATCTGCCATAAACCATAGGTTTGATGGGAGTTATGTTCACCAACTTAGCTAACGAACTGGGGCACCATCTTGTGGATTTCCAATTGCAATGTTTGATTGCGGGTGCCAACATTGACCCAACATTGACCCAAACTTTTTTTCCCTCCTATTAGGAAGGAAACCTCCACCCATTGTGTATATATATATATATATACAGATTATATATATATATATATTCTATTTTTCCCAAACATCTCTTTGATGCTTCAGATACACAAAACCTGAGCACATTTCTTGGAGATCTAGCGAAAATCGGCTACCCCTCTATATAGTCCTACTGTGGAGGGTTGCGAAATCCTGCACCACCTGGGATGCTAGAAATGCTAGAAAGCCAAACAAAATCATGGGAGTTGGGAAAAACCACCTATTAACTGGTGCAGGATTTCGCTGGCCCATCCACAGTATGGTTGATCATTTCCCTATCCATTGGTATACAGAACAATTATGCCATCAAATGCCATTGTATATCCATGGTTAAAATCCTTCCCTATTATCTAATGCCATCATTTGGGGTCACAAAATCCGGAGGTCCTCGACTTCTTCCTGAAGCTTGCAGTGGATTTGGTCGCGCCCGAGCACCTGAAAGGCCACCGACTGTTTCGAGTTGGGAAAAAAGTCCCCAAACGACTGGATTTTCCGTATAACCTGGGTTTGTTTAAGGCGATTTTTTTGGGATTAACGTGGATTAAGGTGGATTTTTTGGGGAATATGATCAACAATTATGTATATCTGGTTGGTGGTGACTGGAACCATGGAATTTCATGAATTTCCATTCAGTTAGGAATAGTAACCCCAACTGACGAACTCATATTTTTTTCAGAGGGGTTGAAACCACCAATCAGGTGTAAGTGAATTATTCGAATTTACCCAGATCGTATGGATCAGGAGGGTGCCGGTTATAAACGGAGTTTATAATGGTTTAGCGCATCGAACCCAAGAAATTTCTACCATAAATCCGATTGTTAGCTTGGATGTAAAGCAACTTATCTATTCTTTGGGGACCTGTCCTTAAATGAACCCACTTGGTGATTTATGGCGCCCAACTATCTCAGAAGGATGCAAAAACAGTTTTGAGTTATACGGTCACAAAGTGGCGGACGGACCCCTAATTTATGGCCATCACTATTTCTTGGATCACACTATTCTCAGAGAAAGCCACAGCAATTGACAATATGATGGAAATTATTTACGGTATATATAGTATAGTAATTGAGGGTATATTTGTGTATGATTGGTGTCCTGCCAGGTGACTTGTACGTGGCCAGCACTTTCTTCTATCAGAAGTTGACCGCTGGTGGTGTGGAGCGACCTGGGACGGTATTGCGGCAATGCCATGAGAACCATCAAAAAAACCCATAAAACTCATGATTCTTATGGCTGGTCAAAAACCATCCCGTTATGGTAGGTTTATTATGGTTTAACATTTGTCACATTGCTATCCAGCTTGACAGAATAGGGCAGCCAGGCTGGAACGAGCTGTTTTTTTGGATGGTGAGCCACTCCCATACAGCTTTAGTGGTGTGACAGCAGATGACCATTTTCTGTCTCCGTAGGGATGGTCCTCAGTTTCAAATGACTAGCAAGGGAAGCTTTCAACTATGAAAAATCATATGGAAGTAGAAGTAGTAATAGTAGTAGTAGTGGTGGTAGTGGTAGTGGTAGTGGTAGTCGTAGTCGTCGTCGTCGTAGTCGTCGTAGTAGTCGTAGTAGTCGTAGTAGTCGTAGTAGTCGTAGTAGTCGTAGTAGTCGTAGTAGTCGTAGTCGTAGTAGTAGTAGTAGTAGTAGCAGTAGTAGTAGTACTAGTAGTACTAGTAGTACTAGTAGTACTAGTAGTACTAGTAGTACTAGTAGTACTAGTAACTAGTACTAGTACTTGTACTTGTACTAGATTATCGTTTAGTAACCTGTACTTATCAGTGCGAATAATTCCGGTGATTACTAATTAGAATACTAGTATCAATAATTTGATTATCATACATGCCAGCCAGAACACACCAAGAAGGGATGGACACGGTTCTGCAGTTCAAGATAGATCTGACTTCCAGGGAAATGAGGTGAATTTATCTTGCTCTCTGAAAGCAATACGTTTCAACATTTCCTGGTTGGTTGTTTCGCAACAATTGAGTGAAACCACTTGAAGAAAAAGGAGGAGCTCACCTGAAATCTTGAGGAGGCCAGAGTCCGAAGGAGTCAATGTCGCAGAGATGCAGCACCCAATGCGGCAATGCTAGGAGCTTGGATCACGCGGCTGCAGTTGCTCGTGTTGCTCGTGCCTCATTTTGCCGGACATTGTGGAGATTACACCCTGATTATATCTGATTATCTGATTACACCCTGGAAATTCGTCAGGCGCGCTTCTTTCTATTACACCCAAGACCCAGCAAAACCTGGCAGCTTGGGGCTTGCAGTTCAAAAGCTTTTTCGTTGGAAAACATTACATGTCTTGAGCCCACCACACATACTGAGATTTGAACAGATTTGATACATCTGAAATTCAACCAAAGAAAATGGGCAATTTTTTTCACGAGGGCACATAGCTGGAACCCAAAGAAGTGGTTTTTCAGCAGTGTTCAAAGCCCGTGTTTTTCCGGGAAGTTCGGGATTGTACCCTCCATTTGGGGGAATATCATCATCCATGAATGGGGATTCCTATCAACAAAGCTGTATAAGAATAAAATGACTGGTTGGTGGTTGGGAATTCTTTTATTTTCCATAATATATGGGATGTCATCCTTCCCATTGACTTTCACATTTTTCAAGATGGTTAAAACCACCAACCAGAAATGATATTGATCTGGGTAAATTATAACGACCTCACTGTTCTCCCTCACTGGAATCGTGGCTAATAAGGGAAATCATCCCCAAATGGCCTTAATTCAGGTTAGTGAAAGATTATAATTTACCCAGATATTGATTGCTGATTGATGTTTAGTTTGTGATTCTACTACTCCCTTTCTAAACGGAGGCTCTCCCCCAGGACCTAAGTCATGGGTACCCCGAAATCATCCAAATCATGGATTACCCTCTGGTAAACAGCCACATAACTATGGAAAATCACCATTTTTAATGGGAAAACTCACTATTTCTATGGCCATTTTCAAGTTCGCAAACTGTTAGTTTACCAGAGGGTACCCTGACTTAGTTTCTCGAAACAATCATGGTTTTGGTTGAGGATCCCCCATGACTTGGGGATGATCAGATCCATAAGGTGGTGCCCACCTTTGATGTTTGTTGGCTCAGAAAACCCTCATGAATACAAGTGAATACTATAATATCATGACCATAAACCCAGATAAACCCATATAAACCTTAGTGACTAGTTAGTTATTTGCACCAACTTAGCTAGTCGTCAGCCGGCTGGATCCTGCGAGGAGAACGGTGAGGCCGGTTGGCAAAACGTTCGCCGTTGGACCAGGTTGGCGGCCGGCCGGCCGTTCGACGTGGGAAATGACAAACTTGGAGGGTCACATCAGTTACAAACATACCAACTATGGGATATCATTGGGATATCATTGGAATATTATTGGCTGATGACACCAACTTAACCAAAATATCCTAAAACAAAAGATGTTACCCTCTGGTAAACTAACAGTTTGCTATTGAACATGGCCATTTAGTTTGTTGATTTACCCATGAAACATGTTTTTTTTTTTTTTTCCAAAGTTTTTTGTTAGTTTACCAGAGGGTACTAGGTCAACCTTGACTACATACAGTTATAGCTGGTTAGTAGTTAGCACCAGCTATAAAGTACTATATTGAACCAGCTATAATATCTATAGTACTTTAATCTTTTGCTAATAGGAAAAACTACGTTCACCAGCTAAGAAGTTTGCATTTTTTGTAGGTTATCCTAAGAGTGGCAATGGTTAGTAAATCGTTAGTAACTGGAATTACCCATTGAGAAGTGGAATAAACCATTTTTTTGTGCAATGAGTTTCCAACTGGGACAATCATCTAGAAATCTGGGTAAATGATGTTGCGACCGAACCCTGTTGAAACTAACCCTGGAAAACATGGTGAATAAGGGACATCATTCCCATGGTGGGCCGAACTATTCAGGTTAGTGAATTATTATAATTTGCCCAGATAAATGGTAGCTAAGTTGCTTATTTGACTGGTTGAATAGTACGTTTTCTGGGGTTTACCAACAATATCATGGGATAGTATGGGATATAATGCAATCATCTATAATAAGCTACCAACAATACCATGGGGTAATATTGAATAATCTATAATCAGATGATTTTACCTTCCAGCACACTAACAACATAGCTCTGGAACATTACCATTTTTTCATTGGTATAGCTATGTAGATAGATATATATATATATATATCATCTATAAATGGGCAACTTTCTGTAGCTATGATAGTTTACGAGAAACTTTATTATTTGTACCAAAACATGAAGAGATTCAATACAGAACCAGGGTAGGGAAAGTTCTGGCTGATAGATGGATGGTTGGGATATCAACCAAGGCTTCCAAGGCGCCACGTACGGTGGATGGTTGCGAAATGAATCACCAGTTGGTAACCATTGGTTTACAACCATGAAACACTGGGACTACAATGGGAATATAATGGGATTTCTACCATCTACCAACTGGTGCAGGATTTCCCAACGATCCACAGTAGAATAAACAGGGGAGTTGGAAGTAGTAAAGGGTAGGGGATTCTGGTAGTATCAATTGCCTACTGACCAGTCATTGTAAGGATCTTGTGCGTTTGTTTTCGGCTGTTTTGCAAATGGGAACCCACAACGCCCTCTGTGCTATATGCCAATATTGTAGACGGAATAGGCTCAAACCGGCATGTGACCAACCGAACACATGGAGATTTATCCAAAATTCTTTGGGTGCTAGTTGGCGGAACATGGGGGCAATATTGAAGCCCCTCAAACCCAGAATTGGATCCCTGCAAAAGCCACTGCAGACAGTCACACTTGAAGTAGGAACCTCCACAGCAATTGGTACTGTCCTCCTTTGTTGGTTATACCCGCTGGTAATTTAACAGTTTGCTATTGAAAAGGACCCATTTATAATTGATTTACCTATTAAAGATGGTGATTTTCCATAGCTATGTTAGTTTACCAGAGGGTAGTTCCACTCTTTTTTTAATTTCCTTTTGTTGCATTCTTCGCTTCGTTGATTGCATCATCTCCGTCGAGTGCAGAGATCTGATGTTTGCAGTCTCGTTAATTCATATTAATTCCAATATCCTAGAATTGGCTTCAATGAAAATGTGCAGGAACCGGAACCCCTATAGATTTGGATGTGTAACATAGCACAAGGGGCCATGCTTTCCTGGAATGGGTTAGTTTAACATGTTCAACCCAGTGTCTGTACAAAATTGGTCCCAGAACTGGTTCAAGAGGTTGGTGCATTACATGTGTAACATTATGTAATATGATAATACATATAATATAATATAATATAATATAATATAATATAATATGAACTAATATAATATAATGAAATACACTATAATATAATATAATATAATATGATGTAATATAATATAATATAATATAACATGATATAATATAATATAATATAATATAATATAAGATAATATAAGATAAGATAATATATAATATAATATAACATAACATAATATAATATATAAGTATAATATGCTATATTACAGATATATGATATAATGATATATATATACACGATATAATGATATATATATATATATGATATAATGATATATATATATACATATACACATATTCATTCTTTTTTTGGTATATGCATTGATTACCCATTTGATGGTTCCATTCCCCGCATGGCAAAGTTCCAGGGCTCTGCCTCATGGCTTGCTGGGACAGAGGCATGGCACGACACGACCATTTTATAGGGAAACATGTGGAAAAACTAAGTGAACTAGGGTGAACTACCCTACTATTTGTTGGGGTAACCCTGGTTTTGTTAATGGGATAAGGAGCGGGTTACTCCACTTATAACTAGGGCGAACTAACCTACGAGCCGTGGGTAATTCACCACCAAGCAGAATGGGGAATTCATTGGATCGGTTGGAGGGAAAAACTACAGGAAAGCCTCATAATCTTAATGGTAAAAACCATGGTTTCCGGTTCAAGATGTTCCCTTAAACCAATCCAATGAGTAATGTGGTATACCCATTTGGGGGTACCTCAATAGCTGGATGGTTTATTTCATGGAAAATCGGCAAATTATATAAATGGATGATTTGGGGGTACGGCTATTTTGGGAAACCTCCATTTAACCCTTTTTAGAGGGAAACATGATGATGAACCAGAGGATAATTATGGGGTAGTCCAATTTTGGGCAAACCCAGCTTGTGAATGAACACCAATCATATATAATGCCATGATACCAATGATGATACCAATCACATACTGGCGGGTTGATAGGATTGATTGCCTGTTCATGAATTGTAGTGGTGATATTACATACCCTCCAGTAAATTAACATAGACCCTGGCAGATAGGGGTTGGAAGATTAGTTTCCATTAAAAATTGGTTATTTTCAGGGTCTATGTTAATTTACCAGAGGGTATCTCATTGCAATAATTGTATACCATTACAATTCATGACCAGGAAATCATAGGATTGCCATTGATATTCCCCTATATACAGTAACATACATATTACATATGTGTTAGATTTTATTAGTATAATCCCCACGGATCAACTGATTATCATGATTATCAACTATATCTATATACTATAATGATTATGATCAAGATACTAAAATTATTATCATTTATCAACTAGTTATCAACTATATCTATATGCTATATCCCCATAACTCATTTATTGGCCAGTAAAAAAGCCTGAAGAAATCATCAACCAACCAAAGTTTAGCACTGCAGCTGCAGCAACTCAAAAAAACCAAGGGCTCTGCAAGGTTTACCTTTTCCTCTTACAGATGACCATTCTGGGGTATATAAAAAACGAATTACCCTCTGGTAAACTAACATGGCGAACTGGAAAATCACCATCCTTTCAGTTCGGTAAATCAACGATTTCTAAATGGGCCATGGCTTCCAGTTCGCAAACGGCTAGTCATTACCAGAAGGTAAGGGGATGAGCCATCCAATTTATTGGAAAAAAATCTGACGAAACCCCACAGTAGGGCCTTAAATATCTAGGAAATCTAGGTATTGATCCGTCTCCATCCCCGATTCTACCATAAATGGATGCTATATGATGCTATAAACCATGAAAATATGGGATTACTATTGCTTCACAAAGATTCCTGGGGATTCAGGTGGATGTAAGGGGAATATGATCAACAATTATGTGTATGGATTTACCATTTTTCCATTATATTCCATTGAATCCTGCTTGGTTCAGAACCGGATTACCACTTCATGGATGCTAACCACCAACTCTTTGAGAGGTTAGAAGTATAACCCCCACACCAATACTCAGTGGGAATTTCAGGACCCTGAAATGGAGGTACTTTAACATATAAAGCCATAGAAATTCGGGGTATTATCCCCTTACAAAGCCATTTTCAAAACTGACCTTGCATCTGGTAGGTACCTCCAATTTACCCTCTGGTAATTTAGCAGTTTGCTATTGAAATAGCCATTTAGTTCGTTGATTTACCCATTAAAAATAGTGATTTTCCATCGTTTTTTGTAAGTTTACCAGAGGGTAAGTTCCTGAAATGGCAATTGAGCCGCTCTAAAAACCTCCGTTTACATTTTCAGTAAGGGCCTTGTCATGTTCGGGTTTTCAGAATGGCTCAATTGATACAAAAATCCTGGCTTTTGACCCATCTCTCTGACAGGTTTGTGGTGGTGCCCATTAACGAGCAGAACATCCATTGGTGGTGGCTCGGCAGTTTCATCGGGTCTAGTTCTGTTGTGGTTTGTTTAGGGATTTATTTAAGCTCGTTTTAGGGTCTACTTGCGGTTGGTTCAAATTTTCTTTAGGGTTTGTTTAGTTAATTAGGTTGTTTTAGGGTCTATTTCGGGTTATTTGTGATTGATTTAGGGTTGGTTTAGGGTTTATTTAGGGTTAGGTTATTTTGGTGCTCTTTCAAAGTCTTGCGTTTTGTTGTGGTTTTAGCCAACGGCACGACAGAGTGCAAATTACGAAAGATATATCCATTTAAGACATGCTCCAAAAGGTGATTTTGGCACCGTCTTAAGCGCCTAAACATGCCAAATTTGCAAGTTTTTAGTTATATATCATCATATATCAATGTATGTCATATTTTACTATAGTCATACATCCATATTTTGTATTAGCCAAGCCAAGCAATATAAATGAATATATCAATATTTCATATGCTACAATGTGCCCCCCCAGTTATAAGTTGGTTATAAACCATAAACCTCATAAACCATAGTGACATTGGAAATATGTTCACCAACTTAGCTATCGTTCCCCACTTTGTAACTAATATCTAGTTGGTGGTTTGGAACATTTTTTATTTTCCATTTCATATATGGGATGTCATCCTTCCCATTGACGAACTCCATCATTTTTCAAGATGGTTATTGCACCACCAAGCAGTTAAAAAATAGTGATTTTCCCAGTAGTTTTTTGTATGTTTACCAGAGGGTCATCCCTTAAGACCATTATGTTTGGTCATCCCATTGTATACCCTCTGGTAAACATACAAAAAACTACTGGGAAAATCACCATTTTTCATGGGAAAACTCACTATTTCTATGGCAATTTTCAATAGCTACGAAAAAAGACCGAAACAACACAGCCTCAACGAGGCTGGCGGTGGTGTGCCACGCGCGACATGCCTTGGAGCCGGTGGATGAAGCGGCCTTGGGGAAGGCGATGAAGTGGCCCTGTTTTTATGGGTCAAATGTCACCCAATGGATCCCAAAAGGTTGGGTCAATAAATGTCAGTACCCTCTGGTAAACATACAAAAAGCTATTGAAAATGGCCAGTTATAGTGGATTTTTTCCCATTAAACATGGTGATTTTCCATAGTTATGTTAGTTTACCAGAGGGTAACTTCCAATAGATTGGTGAAGATTGGTGAAGATTGGTGAAGATAGCTATAGACTATAACTCCAATGAATCTATGCTATTTTTGTTGGGGGCTCATGATGCTCATGTGGGGAAAAAGAGAATGACATGGAATAGAAATCCATGATTTTGGCTTAAGTGTACGATGTGGGGCCCGGTGATGTGAAGGTTGGTGTATAAACCCCGTTAAATTATAGCATCAATTATAACATCAATTGACATCAATTAACATCAATTAACATCAATTAACATCAATCAACTATAGTTAACAGTTGTAAACATCATATCCCTCGTATATCCTCCTCAATGTTAGGGCCTCCCAGTGATGCTTGTTTAGATTCACCCCAGTAACTAGTTCGTTAAGTACCACAACATGCGATCTAACGGTTAGTCTAACATCAACTAACATCAATCAAATATAATCAATTATAGTTCATAAACATCATATTGAACCAGTTATCAATTAAGTATGGTGATAGTTTATAGATATACCATAGATATTCCATGATATTCCAATCAGATTTACCATCATAATTCCTTATTAACCATAGATAGATCATTATAAACCCCAGCAATGATAGTTATAAGTAACATGAACTAACATCAATAACATCAACTAATATCGACTAACATTAACTATAGTTTTAAGTTATAAATATCATAAATATATGGGATAATCCTTCCCATTGACTTTCATATTTTTCAAGATGGTTACAACCACCAGCCAGTTATGGATTTACCCAAAAAATCTTTCCATTCCATTTGCTAACATCAACTAACCATAGTTTTAAGTTATAAATTATAAATATCATAAACCATGGTGAACTTGGACTTCTGTGGCCCACAGCCGAAAAAAAATCGAAGGCGCCCCGCATCGTCTGCCTGGACTCGGCGCAAGAGCCGCCCTTGAAGAATCGCACCGTGGCCTTTCTCCGAGGTGCCCGGAATAGGGTCCTGTTTTGAAGGCTGACAGAAACCAAGACCATGAGAGAAGCTATGAAAATTGCTACCCTCTGGTAAACTTACAAAAAGCTATTGAAAATGGCCATAGAAATAGTGGATTTTCCCATTAATAGCATGGTGATTTTCCCAGTAGTTTTTTGTATGTTTACCAGAGGCTATGTTTTTTGGTGATTTTAGAAGCAACAAGATGGTGTTCTATTAGCAGGAAAAAACTGATGAGTTCAGTGGCAAAACATTGTGATTTTAGCAGCAGAACACATGTGATTTAAGCAGCAAAACATTGTGTTTAAAGCAGCCAAAATGGTGGTTTAGAAGCAAAACATGATGTTTTAAGCAGCAAACATTGTGATTTTAGCAGCAAATCATGGTTATTTAACTAGGTTTCAAGGAGTTTCAAGGTGTGGATTTAGGTGAATCTGATATTAAGCATCCACATTGTGGAGGGCATTTTGCTGGATTTCATTGAGCAATGGGAAAATCTCGGTAAGATCATCGAAAAGACAAGGATTCCCCTCGATCCGGGAAGGGCGCTTCTCTGCGAAGGATACCTCTGGAAAGAATGGTGCGAACGACATCCTTCCGTCGCTCAGTGGGGAATTGGTGAACCTGGTGAACCCTCTGCAAACTGAGGATGAAGCAGTGGTATAGCAGCTGTTAGCTCTCGAATGGACTTGCCATTCAGCGCGACCTCACCATACGTAGATATATGTAGATATATGATGATATATGTAGATATATGTTATTGGAATGTAAGGGGAACATCGCTAAAATCACCTGATTTGAGATTGATTGTTGTGGACAACGTGGTCAGCCAAAAGATGGGTGGGAGATCCAAATTGACTATGGATTTTTCGGGTTTGAAACATTTGAAACCGTCACCCAAATATATTTATATTGTAGAGATTTGTTGCTTGTATAGCATTTGTTAATCCCCTTATATCTGATTGGTGGTTTGGAACATTTTTTACTTTTCCATATATTGGGAATAATCATCCTCACTGACTTTCACATTTTTCAGAGGGGTAGGTATACCACCAACCAGATATGATGCCATGAACACTATGGTATGTTTGTTCTTCATTGACATGTTCAAGATCTGGATAAATTGCCATGTCGTTACACAGTAGTTACGTTACATCCCAACTGTTATCGGCCGAGAAATATTCCCCAACTTGGTGATCGTCAGCTTAGCTAGCACAAATCAGGTCTTGGAATCCGAATGTATCTCCATATACAGTATCATATATCATCATATACAGTATCCATACATATATATATATAATATATGTATATATATATATACATATACGTACATATACATACATATATCCATATATACATAATATATATATATATATCATATAAATCTCATTAAATCCCCATATTTTTCTTCGTTCAATGAGGGGTCGTCCAAGGCCATGAGTGAAGAAGGCACTTTGGATAAGGCGCGGCGGGATCTGGGGATTCGGCTGGTGATTCGGCTGGTGATGTTCGGCTGGAGAAACCCATGGGGATTTTCATGGGATAACCCAAGGCTCAATCTAAAAAAGGCAACCTAAAAAAATAGACATTTGGATGGGGATGGGGGGATTTTTTGGATGGGATTTTTTCAAGGGATTCTATGATCATTGGTGATTTTATGGTGATTTAACTCACCGTTTTATGGATGTTTCATGGGGATAGAATGGGGATGTACCCTTCGGTAATCAAATGTGGCTGGCAATGGAAGAGCCTCTGTATAATGGAGGTGTTAATGGGAAAATCATCTATAAATAGTGGATTTTCCGACCAGCACGACATGTTTTATTACCGGAGGGTATACCTAGGAAACCTAGGATAAATTTACCTAGGATAACCTCTGGGAACTTTAACGGAGCTATGGCAAATCACCATTTTACAGTTCGGTGAATTATCATTTCTATGATCTTTTTTAAAGGGCCATTTTGCACAGCTATGTCAAATAACATGTAAACCAACAACAATGGCATATTATTGCTAAAGTTTGGATAAGGATCATGGAGAGTTTACCTAGAACAAGTTTGGGTGGTTGTTTCAGAAGTTACTGTACTTACGTCTAGTGAGTCTAGTAAGAATTCACATTTGCCTTGTATTGAATCCGGGTTGATCTTGTTTCACAAACATCCCCCCCCAAAAAGCTACACCTCACATTGGGACCCTGAAATGAAGGGAACCAGTACTGAACCAACTAGGCCCAGATTCGTGCCCCTTTGTTGGGCCCGTGTTCGAAACTTGGGTGCCGTGAACCTGCGCATCATTCATGGCTTGCTGTGACGACTCAAAGGATCATTGGCGATTTAAGTGGTGCTTTTTCGATGGTCTTCTAACCGCTGGTTTTTTAGGGGAGAACCGATGAATTGTCAACGGAGATTCCGGGATGCGAATTTATTGGAAGGCAATGTATTCAGCCAAAAATGGTCAGTGTCTGTATGTTTGGTGCTGTGTGATCCTGGAGAATTCCTGTACCTTCCGTTTCTATTCCCAAGCTCAACTCCGAACGAGCCATCGACATCAACGTCGGCAAACCTGTTTGTTTGGAGAATTCCAATTTATACATGTTGCATTTCTCAGCCATGTTCATGCAGGTTGGAACGATTTTTTTTTGGGTTATTCCCCCCATGACTATCACATTCTTGGTGGTTCGGTACCTCGTCTGTACACGCTGGTGCTCCTATGAAAAGCTTACTTCCCTATTTGCTATGGAGGAGAAGGCCCAGGGTTTTGCTGAATTATCTTAATTGCTTCATGTTGTTTTCTTAATTTGCAAATCCAGTAAACATCGAATTAATTAGTTCAGGTTGTACTTCTGAATGTTATTTGCTATTTTCAAAGCTTCCGAATCCCTTCCCTCTACAAAGTGGGGCCACCGTTTACGATAGCTAAGTTGGTTAATAAGTCCAATAACTATGGTTTATGGTACAAAAATAACTATAGTTACTAGATGTTACTAGGGTTTATGGTACTTATAACATCTTATAACTATAGTTCCTGGGGCTTATAAACCAACAAACATCACTGGGGGGTCCCTTGTACAGGAATACAAACAAGAAACGAAACAGCTGGGTCCACTGATGATCAGTTGCAGCGTCAGGTGTCGGGCTTGGTGAATCTCCAGGTGTCGATGCGAGAAGAGTCTGTCTGCAGCTGTTGTCATACTATAACAGTAGTATATACTGTAGTATATATATGTCTGGGTAAATTATAACGACCTCACTGCGACCTCACTGGAAATCATGGTTAGTAAGGGGAATCATCCCCAAATGGCCTTAATTCAGGTTAGTGAATTATTCTAATTTACCCAGATATGTATATATATATATTTATATATTTGAAAATATAGATACATATAAGCACATAGTATAGTATAGAACATTACAGAATATTATAGAATAGTATAGTTTTTTTTTTTTTAAATAGAATATTAATCATAGAAATTTATAGAGTAAATTTATAGAAGATATTGCAATTTGATAAGACTTAATCACGTTTTCCATGTTAAGATCATGTTTTCAGTCCGGGATGAGAATGGGCTTGTCTGAGGGTAAAGCTGGCGGTCATGTTTACCATCCCCCAGTGTCAGTCATTTTTTTTTGGCATTTTTGTAGGTGCTGACTGGTTTACCATTCCCAAAATGGGTGGTTTAAGGCATTTGATCCTAAAATGGAGGTACATAAACGTACCATATGTTTGGCCATATTTTGTGAGGATATTCCCTGAAATTTAGGCCTGGAAAATAGGCCTTATATATGGTAGGTACCTCGAATCTAGGATCCTGAAATGGCCATTGATTATATCCAATCTTCAGACAAAGCCACTTTTCACAATGAGAGCTTGCCCAGTCATGGGCGATCTCCCGTGACTGATTTGAAAGGCTTGGGTGTACCCTAAACCATCCTAAAACCATACAAAGTGGGGCCCCCGAAAACGAAATCGCTAAGCTGGTTGATAACTCCAATTTCACTATGGTTTATGGATGTTTATGGTACAAACGAACTAGTTACTGGGGCTTAAAAACCAACAAACATCACTGGGAGGCCCCACTAATTGTAGGTTTCAATACTACAGTCGAACTTTGGAGGTTGGAGCTACCCCAATTTCTCGGCCTCCGCAGAGGGTTGATTTACACCATCTGAGGGACACCCTCATTCCCATGCCTCCAGATTCGGCACATCATTTTCTGGACCCAGTTCTACCCTCTGGTAAACTAACATAACTATGGAAAATCACCATTTTTAATGGGACAATCCACTATAAATGGCAATTTTCAATAGCAAACTGTTAGTTTACCAGAGGGTACCCGAGTCTTGACTTTGGACCCTTAGCAGATCTTAGCCATCTCTTTCCCGATGGATGCCGAAGGCGATAGCTGCTGATGTTCCAAAGCAAGCCAACAGTTCCTTGGATGATGGCCATGGGCGTTGAAATCACCAAAAACATATACCCTACTTGGTGGCGAACTACCCACGGCTCGTAAGTGGGTTAGTGAACTACCCAGTGATTTACATGGGATAAGTAGGGTTAATCCACTTATAATTGGGGTGAACTAACCCACTTACGATTCGTGGGATGAGCCACCGAGTACATATACCTTACATAGGCATACATACTGTGGATGGTTGCGAAATCCTGCACCAGTTAATAGGTGAGCAAAATTCCATTATTTATAGGCTTTCTAGCATCCCAGGTGGTGCAGGATTTCGCAACCATCCACAGTATGGTAGGCACCTCCACTATACCTGAAATGTCCCCTGATGGAATGAGATGGCCATAGTTTTGCTTCTCCTGCCCAGCTTCACTATAAAATCGGGATCATCAAGGTACCCCTGGGGGTTGCACCAGGATGTTTGTTTCAGAAAAGCAGCACAGTAAGCAGCTGCAAAACCCATAACTGCCGAGGTGTGGGAAGTTTGGGACCCCAAATGAAAAAGCATTGGAATTACTGTATGTGGAATTGATAAATTTCATGTGGGATTTAAACATATTTAAACCATTGGATTTTGGGTTACCCGTTTTTATACAAACCAAACAAAGTGGGGAACATTTGCCTCGTTGCTGGATGTCGGCAAAAGTTTGACCCGATTTCGTCCAAGAGCTATCAGAAGACGATCCGTTGAGAAAAAATATCAGAAGCATTTACCCGGCCTGGTGAACTAACAGTTTGCTATTGAAAATGGCTATTTATAGTGGATTTTCCCATTAAGAATGGTGATTTTCCATTGCTATGTTAGTTCACCAGAGGGTAACGTTGTAACAGATATATATATATATAAAGCATAATTCCGGTTCGGAACAAATGAGGAACATCACATTGAAAATAACATTCATATAGTCTTTACTACTATAATTCACCCACGTTTCTCTATATGTTTAAATAACATTAAATAACATTAAATAACATCATTTTATATCTAGTATATATATATATATCATGTTCCTTGAATTATTCAGATAAGGATCGTTTGGATAAATGCGTTGCTTATTTCCTGTGCACCAAGTACTGCCGGTGAAGCTCAGGTTTCGACTGTGGAATCTTCATCATCGAGTCTCAGGGCCCAGGGGGGCCGGAACGGGTCCGGAAGGTGTGGAGATTGACAGGGTCGATCAACGAAATCTGGCCAGGACATCTGGGGATAAATATATATATATATATATTCCCATGAAGTCATATATATATATAGCTATAAAAGGATGATTTTCCATAGATTACCCATCAAAAATGGTGGATTTTCCATAGATTTCCATTGTTTTTTCGATGTTTACCAGAGGCGCCTTGGTGGTTGTCTGGCGATGATGGTAACCCATGATAGGGATACCCGGGTACTTTACTCGTTGGCCATCAACTATATAGTGGATAAATATAGATAATATATATATCTATATAATACAAATATTATTGTATATATAATCCTAATATATTATATCTACTATATAGATAAAGACTATAGTATATATATATATATACACATAATCTCTACCACCCTTGAACCAATCCCGGGCTCGAGGTACTTGTTGCACCTGCTGCGCTCCAAGACAGCCTTGGCCGGTCTAGGCCGATTGGCGTCCCTATATCCGTACCAAACGGTAGCCTAAGTCATAGCTGGTCAATGGATGGGTATTTCACCAAATATGGTAACATATAATAGTAATAGGTTTTGACCCATCCCCACATAATATCATATAATCCCATCCCCCATATGAAACACACCCCCGAAACCATGGTTTTTTGTCGGGATTTACACCTTTAATTTTTCGATCATACTATGGGGGTGTTTCATATTAGGATGGGATTATATTACTGACTGGTGGTTAACATGTTCACTATGGTTTAGGGGGGATATATGGCCATTTATAGTGAGTTTTCCCATTAAAAATGGTGATTTTCCATAGCTATGTTAGTTTACCAGAGGGTAACTATAATTGTGATTAATGGGGGTTCATGATTACATGATAACAAACTACTGTGGATGGAAGAAATATGAAGAAATGAAGAAATCCTGCACCAGTTGGTAACTATTGGGATTCCTATGAAACACTGCAACAAAAAGAAATTATAATGGGATGTTCATTTACCAACTGGTGCAGGATTTATTCTATCCACAGTATTACTGACTGGTACTAAGTTGGTGGAATTTATAAGGACCTCTTCCCATAAGCCTCCCATACTACTCCCACATGGGAATTTCAGGATCCTAAGTTGGAGGTACCTGCCATATCCTGCCATGTATTTTTCAGGCCTAAATTTCAGGGAATATCCCCACAAAATATGGCCAAAAATATGGTACAGTACCTCCATTTTAGGATCCTGGAATGACCATTGAGTTTGGGAAAAATCAGCATTCTGTTCTCCCCAACTCCCTAAGCCACCACCAAATCATCACTGCCTTGCAGGGATCTGTTTGGTGATCCTGGAATGACCATTGATAGTATATTAACTACATTATAACCATAGTTAATCCATAAACCATAGTTAATCCATTTTCTTAATCCATATATAATCCCATATTCCCATTGATCGATCGTATCGATAGTATTGATTCTGGGTCCCCATAAATCCCATGGACACGGAGCAGAGGGAGCAGCAGTTCAGCAGTTCTGTTCCGAGCTACAAAGGCTTTCCCAGCCACAAAAATAGATATAATAAGTGGGTTAGTTCACCCCAATTTTTTCAGTGGATTAACCCTACTTATCCCATGTAAATCACTGGGTAGTTCACTAATAATGGATAATTAATGTAGATTATAAGTGGATTAACCATGATTAACCCTATAAATAATGGAATTTTGCTCACCTATTAACTGGTGCAGGATTTCGCATCCACAGTATGTATATGTAAGGTATATGTACTTGGTGGCTCATCCCACTTAGTAAGTGGGTTAGTTCACCCCAATTTGTTCAGTGGATTAACCATGATTAACCCTTATAATGGAATTTTGCCCACCTATTAACTGGTGCAGGATTTCGCATCCACAGTATGCCTATGTAAGGTATATGTACTCGGTGGCTCATCCCACTTAGTAAGTGGGTTAGTTCACCCCAATTTGTTCAGTGGATTAACCATGATTAACCCTTATAATGGAATTTTGCCCACCTATTAACTGGTGCAGGATTTCGCATCCACAGTATGCCTATGTAAGGTATATGTACTTGGTGGCTCATCCCACTTAGTAAGTGGGTTAGTTCACCCCAATTTGTTCAGTGGATTAACCATGATTAACCCTTATAATGGAATTTTGCCCACCTATTAACTGGTGCAGGATTTCGCATCCACAGTATGCCTATGTAAGGTATATGTACTTGGTGGCTCATCCCACTTAGTAAGTGGGTTAGTTCACCCCAATTTTTTCAGTGGATTAACCCGCTCCCAAAAATCCCATGTAAATCACTGGGTAGTTCACTAACCCACAACCACGATTCGTGGGTAGTTCGCCACCAAGTAATATCGATATTGGTTGATTCATTATATCATTCGTTATATCACGGGACAATTCTTAATTTTCAATAGCCTTCGGTGTCATCGTTGACGTGGCTTGAACATCCACCAGCAATACTTCGATCTGAAACGAGTTCGTTGACGAATGTTCAGAAATGGTGCACCAAAGGTATGGTATAATGGTATGGTGCACTTTTTATATGAATCAGGTATGTCACAGTATGTCAGGTTATCAGGTTGTTGATGGATTTTTTTGTATTGCTAAAACTGTATTGCTAAAATGATGATCCGCCATCTATGGTTTTGAGGCAGGACGCAAAAAATGCATAAATTTTGTGTTTCACTAATGTCGCGTCTCCCAGAAGTGGTTGAACCATCTCTTCTTTAGGCCCTCTCTCGAGGGCCTAAAGAAGAATAATAAGGTCGTTCCCCTAATATTAACCCTCCAGACACCCATGGTTTAGTAGGGGATGTTCACAGATATTTGGTAGAACAGGGGTGTGGGATTGCCCAGCTATAGGGAACAAAAATCCAGGAGGTATCTACGATTGCCATGGGGCCATGGTAGTTCTAACCTGCCAAGCCACAAGACATCATTAGTGGTGCCCCATCATGAAAACAGAATGCTTGGGCTTGCCAATATTCAAATGGCAAGCCACGAGTGACCCCAAACACGGAATTGTCTCACAGCGGTCCTTCCTTAACTTTTTGGATCGTTAATGACATATATGATATATAGACACTTAATAATAGCCCTTGGATCCTTGATTATATATACATGATAAAGGAATGACCGCAGTATTTTTTCACAACGAAGTAAAGGCGGGTGCCCCAAAAAATTATCCAAATCGGCCAAATCGATCCATCAGATTAAGTAATTCGAATCATGTAGCCTGAAATGAATGGATCCAATAGTATTTTGGGAATGATAACCAAATCATAACCCAATCTAACCCCGTTAAATAGGACATATCCTAAGTTTTGTATGGATGATATACCGAACTTGCCACAAGGGATGCCCCGTAGGTAGGTCATAAGGGGATCACTTTCGGCAGGCTTGGCAGCGCACAAGCACTGGTTCGGTCAAGCGTGGGAAGCCCCCAGGGGGACTGAGAATGCGATGCTGTGCTTGGAAGGTCCCTAGCTATGATAAGGGGGTATCCCTAGATATGTTGATTTACCCTCTGGTAATTTAACATAGCTATTGAAAATGAACATTTATAGTGGATTTACCCATTGAAAATGATGATTTTCCATAGTTATGTTAGTTTACCAGAGGGTATATACTATTGAGAACGCCCCATGCACCATTGTTATTCCCCAACCACCTGAAGAACTACAATTATAAGTGCCATAAACCCTAGTTCACAAAGTTGAAATCCAACTTAGCTATCATTTTGGGTGCCTCCTTGCCCAGGAAACCCCGAATTTGATGGAGAAAAACCCATGGTGAATCCGGCTAAGAATTTCCCTTCAATCCAGTGATAGTTGATTTTTCAATGAGAATGTCTATAATAGGTCAATGGCTATTTCAGGAACCGATTTATTGGAGGTACCTACCATATATTTTTGGCCTATTTTTCAGGGAATATCCCAGCAAAATATGGCCAAACATATGGTACGTTTACGTACCTCCATGTATTGGATCCTGAAATTCCCATTGAATAGGGGATTCTAGCAAGCCATGTTTCATAGCACCGGAGGGTAACTCATCTTCTGCACCAAAAGTGGAGGCTGTATGTCTTTCTGGGACCACGCGTATGTCTGAACATGGGGATTGACCCCTCAATTCATGGCATTTTCATACAAAGTGGGGCCCCCGTTTACGATAGCTAAGTTGGTTTATAACTCCAATAACTATGAATAACTATGGTTTATGGTACTTATAACTATAGTTACTAGGGTTTATAAACCAACAAACATCAATGGGGGGCCCCACATTGTAGGATCAATCATGATCAACAAGATGGGGTAGCCTGGGTACTTTGATGACCGCCATCTCGCAGTGATTTTTTTGACGACATCAACTGGTTGGTGCAGTCCATTTCTCTTAAACTTATCTCTAGAAATCGAGAAGATTATCCTAGGACCAGCATTTTTTTTCGCCATTTTGATTTGGATGAAGGGACATTTTAGAGAAACCTAAACCAACATCATTAAATCTGGTTGGTGGTTTGGAACATCCATATTATTTTTCCATTCAGTTGGGAATTTCATCATCCCAACTGACAAACTCCATCAGTTTTCAGATGGGTAGGTCAACCACCAACATCTTTAAATGTGTGGAAACATGTCCCGGTGTTTAAGATGGTGCTTAGAAGAGCAGCAATCCGTTGTGATTTTGGCATCTCCATCCGAAGAGGTCACCGGTATTCACCGGTCACCGGCATGGTGTTTTGATCCCGTTGATCCCCTTTTGACCATGGTTTTTACCACGGGGGCTGTTCAGAAATCCCTTATATATAGAATGGTACAGGGTGGTGCCCCAGTTCGGAATCGCGTTCAGTTGGGATTCACATAAGTCCAATTTCACTATGGTTTATAGGCGATATATCTATATAGTAAATGGGGTTTATAAACCAATTACAACGTTTGGGGGGCACCACCTTGTATAGAATGGGGACATCCAGTAGCTTTCCAGCTGTTTTATATCCTATAATTATTTGGGGTAATGGGATTAGTCATAGTTGGTTAGTCTAAATCATGAAATGTACCCATTCATATCCGTACTATCCCACTACATCACCATTTCTGATGGTTAAGTATATTTATATCCCGTTATACATATATACAGTATATATATATATACAGTATATCCCATTAAATCCCATTAAATCCCATTAAATCCCATCAAATTTCATTAAATCCCATGAAGTCTGCATTAATTTTCATTAAATCCTCATTAAATTTCATCCCATTAAATTTGAAATTTCAGTCCCACAAAATCCCATGAATCACCATCAAAAGAACCCGACACAAATCAGTCCCGAGGTCCGTGTCGTACCGGCGGACACGGCTCAAGTGGATCGCAAATCTGTGGCTCGGCGACGGGGCGTCTCCCGGGGTTAGGGTTTTTTTGGGGAGAAGCCGGAGAAGTTCGGCACGGTGAACCATTCGAACCTTGGATTTCATGTTGACTTTATGGTGAACTGACAAAAATGGGATTTGGAATTTTACATATGTCAATGTGCTAACCAACGTTCTTTTATTTCCCGAGTATCTAGGATTCGTCGATTCTTCATGCGGGGACCGCTTTTGGCGCTTCGCCACAGGCCTAATGAGACAATAAAGCAATTCTTGTCGCAGATCCAAGTAGAAATCATATATCCATAATACAGTAGATACATAGACAGACAGACAGACAGACAGACAGACAGACAGACAGACAGACAGACAGACAGACAGACAGACAGACAGATAGATAGATAGATAGATAGATCCATGGACAGATAGATAGATAGATAGATAGATAGATAGATAGATAGATAGATAGATATGTAGATAGGTAGATAGATAGATAGTTATATGGATACTTGTGACATACACAGATATATACCAGTCCATTCCATAGATCTTTGTGTTAGCTATCAATATTTGTTTAGGAACTATTTGGAGCATCATCGTGTGGATGGCTGTTGGCCACCTAGCAGTTTTTTTTTCTGATCTTTAGTATTGATCTGGATACAAATGGGTGATTTAACTGGCACAAATTGGTCTTAGCCAAAAAAGTGGTGGCAAAATAGGGATTTTCATGGGATATAGTTGAGATATCTGGATTAATTATAGTGACCTCACGTCGTGACGTCGCGACGTCATGATGGTTGAGGGGAATCATCCCCAAATGGCCTTATTTCAGACATGTTCAGGTTAGTGAAGCAGTTTAGTTCAGGCAGATTTATCATGCCGTTTGATGTATTGCTGAAAGACACAAAGCCAGAAACCATGACTGCGGGTCATTTTACATCATCCGAGTCATATAGGGTATACCCAATTTCATAAACCACTATTGGGAATGGTTTCTGGCATTGGGTTTACGGCATTACTTGGATCAAAATCAGGACCATGGTTTCTCGCAGTTGTTCTCCATGACAACAAGTGGGTCTTGTCTCCCACTCGCTTCGAGGTTGCAGCACCAAGCGAAACGTTTGGGCGAGACGGATGTGAACCGACTGCTACAGGCGCGCCCCGATTTGCCGGAGGAAACGGCGGTGGGTTGCCCCGTGCCCCTGTTTCCAAAGGTTTTTGTTTGCTTCAGTGAACTGCACTAAAGAAACAAAGCTGCATGATAGGGTTAATCAGTTCACCACTATACTAAACTGTTTCCAAAGCTGGTTGGTGGTGACTGGAACCATGGAATTTTGAATGACTTTCAGTTGGGAAGTTCATCCCAACTGACTTTCACTCCATCATTTTTCAGAGGGGTTGGGCTCAACCACCAACCAGTTCTGGTAGATATAACTATATTTACTATGTAAAATCACCAGTTTTAATGGGTTTATGGGGGTTCTATCTATAGTTCAACCAGTTAAATTGAGATTGGAGGCTCGGTAGACTGGGAAAATCAACTCCTGCGAACTGGTGCTTGTTTTTTTTATAGCCTGCCAAGCGTACGCCACGTTTGATGACGAGGGTAGACTGGGTACATTTTTTACTTTCAAGGACTAGGGTGGATACAATGAGGATAAGAATGGGATCATGTACTGCCCAGTTTCTTTTGAGTTTTCCGGTGTAGCTATCTAGTCTTTATTCCAAGTTGAATTCTGCTAGCCTCTGGTAAACGTTTACAAAAAACTATGGAAAATCACCATGCTATTAATGGGTAAATCAACGAACTAAATGGCCATTTTCAATAGCGAACTGTTTGTTTACCAGAGGGTAATATTTGATGTTGAAAAGACGTGTTATTCAGGGTGCTTTGCTGGGTATCACCGGTATCACCTCATATCATTGTAAGGTTACTGGACATGTCCTATCGACTTTGTTCGCGCTCCCACTCTTTTTGAGTACTGAGTACTGTTTGAATTTCTCGTGGAATTGGGACCCTGAAAAAGCCACCAACATGACTCCTTCATACCAGATACCCATGTTTTTGTGAAAACTTTTTGGATGTTCCCTTTCGTCCAATCAACAATAGGCACTACTAAGGCTTGGATACTTTCTAAGTAGGCAGGCAGGATAAATATAGCACCTGTTTCCAACTTTCCATTTCTATAGTCTTTGATTCGAAAGAGGTTCCAACACATTCGAAAACCATATTACCATGTTTCATTATAAATTATATTTCATTGTTGAACATGTTTTAGAAATCGGCTCCAAAAAGCAGTTGTGTTTCGCAGGGCCTTGGATATCCAAATGGTTGTGCCTCCCCTCACATTGCTTCTTTTGATCAGGAACCGAAAGTGCGTCGAGCGGTGGTCGGGAGACTTGAATGGGACAACTGGGCGGGGATACAGAAGATGAAAAAAGTGAACTCGTCTGATGAGATATGGAGGTTTCCCAAGTCATGGCTCTGACACGACTCTTATAATAATTGCTTTCCAATTGCAAATTCATAGAGGAGCAACTCATACAGTAATGAAGATGGTGAATGGATATGATATGGTGGCTACACTAGGGTGGCCCCTTCAGATTTCCCAAGAGGACACGGTTGGTGCAACGTGCAGACAGTTTGAACTGAAGCAGATGCTAAGACCCATGCGGTTTGGGACCAGCTGGCCCAGCAGATGAGCAGATGAAGCCTGCGGCGTTGATCTTGACCACGGTCTACCACTCGAAGGGATTATGTTTTTTTTCATTGAGCAGAATCTCTTTCAGAACCTTACCCACTGGTAAACGTTTACATAGCGAACTGGAACATCACCATACTATTAATGGGTAAATCCACGATTTCTATGGCAATTTTCAATAGCAAACTGTTAGTTTACCAGAGGGTAAACCTCCATTTTCCTATGGTTTTCCTATGGTTTTCCTATGGTTTTCCTATGGTTTACCTATGGTTTACCAGAGGATATCTCCGGTGTTTTCCGCGGTGTTTGACAGGCAGTTCCACTGTTCCACTCTCCAACAGAGTCGATCGACTAGGAGGATCGGAGTTTGTTGGTTCGACTGAGTTTGTTGAAGTTGAAGTCCTTGGATTTTTCGAATAACTCCAGTTCTCTGACTATATATTTCCCTCTGGTTATTTAACATAGCCATGGAAAATCCCTTATAAATGGAGGTTTTTATGGGACAATCATCTATAAATGGGCCATTTTCCATGGCTATGTTAAATAACCAGATGGTATATTGACTTTCAGATTCTAATCATTTGATTCAAATAACATCAAATAACCAGGACGGGGATCCAAGTAGCCTCGCAGGGCAGGTTTATATAAAAAGGTCATTTATCCATGGATGTCCTTAGACTTTGCCTGGTAGTTGTTTCCCCCATTTGCCAAGTTCAGTTTCCTGCAAGAGTGGTGAAACTACGGAATAAATAAGTCAACCCCAGGTTCTTATTCACTAGGCTGTTGAATCAAGCACAATTTGTAATAGCCAACTATCACCGTTTTGGTGGAACTGGCAATCACTCATTGTTAGCTTAAATCGGGCTAGCCGAATTCGAGCCAATCCTACTGATCCCAACCTAATTAATCATAATTGATCAACCTATCACAATGAAGTAGCCAACCCTTAGGGGTTTAAGTGTTGATGATTTATTACATTTTATTACCCTCTGGTATCATCCCTGGTGCAGACTGAAACATCACCCAGCCATAGTTTGATGATTTTCATGGATTTTCGAGCTTGCAATGTTTGGTGATCTCAGAGACCTATCGACAACCCTGGGTTGAAGGCTAAAAAAATGTTTGACTATCAAATTAAAATAAATTAAACCCCATTAAATCTAATGTTTTCCCATGTTTTCCCATGTTTTCCCCACTAAAACATTTAAAAGATTCCCGCCGCGGCCGCCATGGCACAGGCCATGGCCCTGACTGAGCTTCCTCGGAAGGCACTGCAGCAAGCTGTGCCCAAAAAGATAGTTCAGAACAGCACTATACTAAGATACCCTCTGGTAAACATACAAAAAGCTATTGAAAATGGCCATTTATAGTGAGTTTTCCCATTTCAAATGGTGATTTTCCATAGTTACGTTAGTTTACCAGAGGGTAGGGGTAAGTTACTATTCCCTATCCCTTTTTGTTGGGGGTTAATCATGTTAATCACTACATGGCCACTCGCCTGCTCGCAATTCTGAAGTTGGTCAGCGATCCGGAGCTGGGTTGAAGCCGTTTACTCGGAAGATCATCCCACGAATATCATAAGTGGATGTAAGTGGTAAGTATTCCTGATTAGTATATCCCTGCAAGTGGATGAAAATTATTCCGAATTATTCCATAGATCAGATCCAAATATAATATATATATATACATATAATATATATATATATACATAATATATATATATACATATATATACATATATATGTATATATATGTATATATATATATTAAATACATGTACACATATAAACGGCTTATAATCCTATGATCACCAACCAATCTGCGGATCTGTGGGATCCTCCAACTTAGTTTTGTGACTGATGTTTTTAAACCCCTTCGGAATACGTGGGATGATACCCCCCAGTGATATGTATTATATAGAATAGTATTATAATTATATATATAATATATAAATAAAATAATTTTAATAACCCCATCTAAATAGAATTATATAGAATTATGAGAGTATCATACAGTTAGTTGGTCATTACAGTTGTGTTCACCAACTTAGCTAACGAACTGGGGCCCATCCTGTACTATAGTTATATCTTCCTAACCAACCATTGGACTTCACCAAGAATTCACAACCTGCATCAAGTCCACGCGGGATGGTGGCGAACTACCCACGTTCATCGTGGGCTCGTGGGTTAGTGAACTACCCAGTGATTTACATGGGATTTTTGGAGCGGGTTAATCCACTGAAAAAATTGGGGTGAACTAACCCACAACCACGATTCGTGGGTAGTTCGCCACCAAGTATATTTTACCCTTGTTGGGTCGGTGCACCGGAAACTGTTCCCAAAGCCCACAGATCCCCACAGGCTCTAGCGGATAAGGCCAGCCTCGTAGTGTGTGGAGACCCGGTGACTGGCGAACTTAGATATCATGTTCCTCCAAAAGAAGGGGTACCCTCTGGTAAACATACAAAAAACTATGGAAAATCACCATGCTATTGATGGGTAAATCCACTATAAATCACCATTTTAAATAGCTATGTTTATATGTGGTTTACCCTCTGGTAAACTGCCACATAGCGAACTGGAAAATCACCATCTTTAAGTTCGGTAAATCAACGAACTAAATGGGCCATGTTCAATAGCGAACTGTTAGTCATTACCAGAGGGTGCAGTAGATGCAGCCCTCCTAGACCTTTGAAATGTTTCGAATGTTCATTCGCACTGTTGTTTGGACATGTTTGGACGGTATATGTGGTATGGTTATCCATTCATCACGAGAATCCAAGAATGATGCAATATAAATCATTATGCATCCCTACCAAAAATGGAATAAAATTACCATCCTCCAAGATCTTTGTTGGGAGATGTTGAGTGGTTTGGTGGACGACACATACTCCATTCAACACTATTCAACATTCCGGAAGCTGCTTCAGGAATCGTATCCCTTCAAGGTAAAACTCCCAAACCATGGTGGATGTAGGGAATGAGAAAGACACATATGGTGGTTTCCTGAAATACGGGTACCCCCAAATCATCAATTTTAATGGGATTTGTCATTTTAAACCAACAATTTTTGGATACCCCCAAATATAGGAAACCCCCATATGACTGGGACATACTGCAACCATCTGCAACCATCTGCATGGGGGGTGCGAAAAAAATGATCGGAGGGAATGGGATGATGTATTACTGTATATAGCCTCCAGTAAACTCTACTTGGTGGCTCATCCCACGAATCGTAAGTGGGTTGTAACCCCAGTGATTTACATGGGATAAGGAGCGGGTTAACCCACTCAAAAAACTGGGGTTATAACCCACTTATTAAGTGGGTAGTTCGCCACCAAGTAAGGAAAATCCTTGGAAAATCCACTAACTATGTCATTTGTAAACTAACGCTTAAATCAGTGGGAAGTCCATGAAGTCTTGTCATTACCAGCTGGGTACAAATCAGCTGGGTAAATTTTATCACGACCGAACCCTGTTCTCCCGAACCCTGGAATCATGGCTGTTAGGGCAATCATCCCCATTCATGGCCGCAAGATTCAGGTAAGTGAAATATTATAATTTACCCAGAAATCATCCCCAAATCGTAGGTTTATGATTGGCTTCACTATATGATTTTATACCTTTGATACCTGACAGTGAATTGAAAGTGCTTCTAAAACTGCAGGTCTTGGGTAGAACATGGACCCGGCGCCGGTACACGCTGTTGGGATGTCTTGAATTCCATTAATATATTTGGTGGCGAACTACCCACGTTCATCGTGGGCTCGTGGGTTAGTGAACTATACCCAGTGATTTACATAGGAGTTTTGGAGCGGGTTAGTCCACTTATAATTGGAACCCACTTACTAAATGTGATGAGCCACCAAATATATATATATATATGGGATGGATATATATATATATATGGAGGTTTTCATAAATAAATGGGGGTATCCCCAAATGGATGGTTAGTAATGGAGAATCCCATTAAAATGGATGATTTGGGGGTACCCCTATTTCAGGACACCTATGGACACCTCCATATATATTTGAAGTGGAGGCGGTTTGTGTGTGTGTTATAGATGTTATAGTGTATCATCCATGCCAGATGTTCTAACAATTCATTCAGATACCCTCTGGTAAACTAACATAACTATAGAAAATCACCATTTTTAATGGGTAAACTCACTATAAATGACAATTTTCAATAGCAAACTGTTTGTTTACCAGAGGGTAGATTGCCCAATAATGTCCAATGTAAGGATATGGTCAAACATAGGGCACCCAGGGGCCCCCATGACCCGCGATTTGTGCAGGCCATTTTTGGGAACTTGAACCACCCATGTTTTGGGAGTAAATAATTCTAAGTCATTCCCACAGTGGTGTTTTTCCTCTCCAAAAACAACATACGTAAATTACCATTTACCAAACATAGTTGACAGAAGTTTTGTACCAGTTGATTTTTTTTGTGTGGACCTAGTGGTTTTTACTAGAAATGATAGTATATATGAGTGGAACACCAGCCATTTGCAAGTCAAACAATCCGTCAGAAACCCATGGCCTAAATTTCCATTGGATGAAGCCTGGTTTTGACACAAAAAAAGACGTCACCTTTGAAGAAGGCATGTGTATTGGTGGATCGAATGTTTTTCCAGATTTCTTTTCCCAGATAACTATCCAGAATAACAATCTATCACCAGAATTTGGCTTTTCATAACTATCCAGATTATTATAGCCAAGAATAATGTATACTTTATAATCCATTTGGCCTTTCATAACTATCCAGTGAAATGTTATTAAAACTAACTATCCAGTCATTTAAGGTGAGTTCTGTGAATAGTCTTGAGCCATTCTGCCAACCAATCAACCCCTCTGAATGTGGCTGAAAAAAAAAACAATTGTGAGCAGGGGATTTTTTCCATAAAGAAAGCTACCAAAAGAACCCCCAGAAACCGAAAGTCCGCATAAAAGTGGTTCCGGGATGTTTCTGCATAGTTTCCTGAATATTTCCACATCCCCCCTGGTCAACGTTTACAGTTTGCGAACTTGAAAATTGCCCAGTCGAAATAGTTGATTTAGCCATTAATAGCATGGTGATTTTCCATAGTTATGTTACAGTTTACCAGAGGGTTAACTGGTTTATTGGCGATGATGGTAATCCATGATAGGGATACCCTGGTACTATCGATGATACCCTGGTAATCCATAGTTTCCTGAATATTTCCCCGTATGTTATAACCTATCGATGATGGTTTTCCTGGCCGCTTCGCCGCTTCGCCCTGAGGTCCAAATTGAAACGTTCCAGTGCTTCACCTGAGGAGCGGTTCACTGTGGATTCCATGGTGATGTGGGGGTTTTTATGGTGATCTAAACCACATATAACTCGTACATATAACTGGTCACTCAAGGGTTTTGGTGATGGGTATAATTATGACTGGTTGGTGGTTTCAAACATGAATTTTATTTTCTTGACTAATATTTTTCAAGATGGTTAAAACCACCAACCAGGATTTCCCATGTTTGGGATTGGTCCTTCCCCAGCTTCGGGCTCGGTCCGTCCCTTGGGGTATTTGGATGTACTAACAGTTAGCGAATTGGAAAATCCACACATCATGCTATTAAGTTCGGTAAACCAACTATTTCTATGGGCCATCGTAATAACCATGGCGAACTGTTAGTCATAACCAGAGGGTATAGATGATTCTCATTGATTTTCCAATATTTTCCCATATTAGCCATCTATAAATGGGCAATTTTCCATGGCTATGTTAGTCATAACCAGAGGGTATCTATGTCTACTGGAGTTGAGCCCAGAACCAATCGGGGAATCGGAGGCTTCGATGTCATTCAACCTTTCATTCAACCAGGCCGGAGACGCAAAGAAACCAAAGACTGAGGCCACTTGAGCTTGTGATTCAAGATGATGCCAGAGATGTGGTGCCTTCAACATGTTAAAGTACCTAAAATGGAGGTAATTTCTGTAATTACCAGATGTTTAGTCAATGGCCATGCAACAGGAACCGATTGATTGGAGGTACCGATTCCATATATTTTTGGCCTATTTTTTAGGGCTATGTAAGGGGATATACCCCCAAAATATGGTCAAAAATATTGTACTAATGTACCTCCATGTATTGGATCCTGGAGATCTCCCATTGAAGAGATGTTTTGTGCCTTCAACATGTTTCAACATGTTTCAACGAAGATTGTTATTTTTTTCCGCATCTGGAAGACGATTTTCGAAATGGGGGACGCCCTCAACATGCCCCAATTGAAATCCCTATAGATCCAGGCTTGCTTGGGGGCTCATCCCACGGCTCGTAAGTGGGTTAGTTCACCCCAGTTATAAGTGGATTAACCCTACTTATCCCATTTATAACTGGGGTTATAACCCACTTACTAAGTGGGATGAGCCACCAAGTAGTACCTGGGTACTTGATCCCAAAGTCCAACCCCCACATGTTTCCTCAGAAGATACGACTGGATCCAGAGGGAATAGTCTGATTTTTGGCATATTCGGAGAACTGATTCAAGGCCTGAAAAGAATCAATCCCCAGTTTTTGCGAATAGATTTCCGGAAACTAACCTATGGATGGACGAATAATTTTATACTAGAGATGGAAGTGCAATTATATATTGGAGATGTAGTGAAGATATCACAGAATGTAGCCAGGAGATATATGGAAACTTTGTATGATTAGGAAACAATTCATTGAAACTCTGGGACCAATCATCGTAAAAGTATGTAAAAGTGAGGTTGCAGTCAACCATAGATTTTGCGGTGCCAGATGGGTCTTTAACATTCTTCAACATTTGCTGACATGTGGGGAAGAACCATCCAAAATGTCGGTAAGACTGTTTAGTAGTTTCAAATGTGCTTTCAGTTTTCCATCTCATTACATTGGTTAACTGTTATTTACGAAAGGACCTGGTTATTTGACATAGCTAGGAAACTGGTCCATTTATAAATGATTTATGATGATTTACGCATCAACAAAAACATGATAAACATGTGATTTTCCATAGCAAACTATGAAATAACCATACCGGATCATGTTTTTTTTGGTTACATGTTTAAAGATAGGCGGCTTTTCGGAGTGTTTCTGAACGACTCAATGATGCAATGGGACTCATGGGGAAAAAATCCCATGGATTGGTGACTGGTTGGGATGGGACTCACCGGAAACCATGGGTATTTTCCCATTTTTTCCATGGGGAAAAATTCCGGTGTCAATTTTCCCAAGCAAACCAATCCATTGAGAAAATGGAGGTGCTTAAGTTGGTGCCATTGATGACGTAGCGATTTGCTGAAGATGATTTTTTTTTTATGTTTTTCCATGGGAAATCCACTGCTTGGGGAATCGATTGAGGGAATACGTTGAAGCACCAAATTTGGTGGTTCCTGTTACATCCAGGATAGCCGGCCAAACTGCCACTATTTCTATGGAAAATCACCATTTTCAATGGGTAAATCCACTTTTCTTAATGGGTACCAGTTTTTCGCATAGGGATCAGCAACTTCTGGCATCACATCTGGCGCCAGTGCTGCCAGTGCTGCCATGGCCCCATGGCACCAGCGTGGAAGACGCCACAGACGCTCGCTGCTGGGTGTCAAAAGTTGGGGACTCTGATGATCTCTGATGATGGGAAAACAGAGATTGGTGACTGGTTGGTGGTGACTGGAACCATGGAATTTTATGATTTTCCATTCAGTTGGGAAGTTCATCATCCCAACTGACGAACTCAGATTTTTCAGAGGGGTAGGTATACTACAACCAGGTGATCATTGAATCATCGATGGCTATTAAATCCCTCTGGTAAACATACAAAAAACGATGGAAAATCCCAACTGTTCATAGAAAAATATATTATTTCTATGGCCATGTTCAATAGCGAAGTGTCAAAAATGACCAGAGGATTATCATCCCATTGACGTTTGGATCGTAAACTTCAACCAGAAAGTCATGGGAGTTTTCCCAGCCAGTTATCATCCCTTTGATAGATGGGTTTTCCATGAAATAAATGAAATAAAGCATCCAGCTTTTGTGGTACCATGACATATGGAAACCTCCAGTTGGTAGATATTTTTTTGGAATCTACCTGTTGGCCCTTGTCCAGGGTTTCTGACAGTGTTTCTTGAATGAATTGAGACAAAAAATGAGAGTTGGCTGCGAGGAGTTGGAATTACTGTTGGACATGAACAAGTCTGACTTGTTCACTATCCAATAAGTTCACCTATTTTAAATCCCTTTTCCAATATACCCCAAGTTCATTATGCATAAAATGATAGTTCTTGGTTAACTTGGCTTCACTCACGACCAAGTTCGAAGAGAAATGGCCAGGACTTATGTGACTTGGCCTTCCTGTCCACAGCATTTTTGCGGTTTGGAAATGGCCTGGGCACCTGATGCTAAACCTGCAGGGTATACCATGGCATACCAGCTTACTTGTGCATGTCATGTTTTTCAAGATGAGTTTTTCTTCAGGGACGATGACGACAAATCACGACTGAACGACGACCCACGTCTCTTGGTACCGGTCATCGAAATTTCCTCGGTTTTTTTCGGGGTTGGACTGCAGCACGTTTTTTGCTTAAGCTGAGAAGATGCCAGCTGAAGATCTGGCCCCATATTTCAAGGGATGAACATGATGAACGGCCCGGCCCCGGCGCACCGGATAGCACAGGTTCCGAAGTAGACGCTGCACAAAAATGGCCTGGGAAGATGACAACAGCGAATTTTCACATCGAAGTGTTCATGACTGGCGAATTTCAATTACCCGCTGGTAAACGTTTACATAACTATGGAAAATCATCATTTTAATGTGTAAATCAACGAACTAAATGGCCATTTTCAAAGCGAACTGTTAAATTACCGGAGGGTATCCATGGCAAATGAATGAACATGACTCTTGATTGATCTCATTTGTGAATGATTTAGGCGCAGGTTTTCAAAAAACACCATGGGGAGTTGCCCTTTACAATCCCACAGAAACTTCGAGCGTCGCGGCGTCACGACCCGTTTTGACCACGGTCGGAGATCACCTACAAGGTGGTGCCCCATAGTTAGCCAAGTTGGTGAACATAACTCCAATTTCACTATGGTTTATGGCAGATATAACTATATTTAATGAAGGTTAGAAACCAACAAACATCACTGGGGGGCACCATCCTGTACAAATGGTCCCCATATCATTCCAATGTCAGAATTCCCCCACAGGAAAAAGTGGGAAAAAGGCTCCAGCTCCAACGAAAAAGCCATGGAACGTGTGGGAATCGCCCAATTGTTGCGACGCAGAGGTGGGGGTTTTCGGTTCTCGGGGGTGTCCAGTGACACAGTGGCTAAATAAAGCGCTCTTGATGATCTTGGGTTGATAATTACTATCCTTTATCTGTTGATATCTATTGATATCTTATTGATATCTGATACTATCAATATCAACAAAAATTCATATCTATTTTTATCTGATATCCCAAAAAATCATCTTTATCTCATATCTTTTTTGGGATGTTTTCGGTGATCACCTCATTTTTTGGGGATTTTTGGATCCGTTGGATCTCTGTGGGATGATGTGGACATCGTGGGGGTGGATGATGTTTGTCAACGCAGAGGATTTACCCGGCCTGGTAAACTAACATTGCTATGGAAAATCACAATTTTTAATGGCTAAATCCACTATAAATGACCATTTTCAGTAGCTATGTTAAATTACCAGAGGGTACCCTCTGGTAAATTAAACATACAAAAAACGATGGAAAATCACCATGGTTAATGGGTAAATCAACGAACTACATTTTTTAAATGGGCCATTTTCAAGTTCGCGAACTGTTAAATTGCCAGAGGGTAAAAAGGGTTACTCTCTTGTAAATTAACGGTTTGACCCTGAAAATAGCCCAGCTTTAATGGAAACTAATCTTCCAACCCTGATGACTGCCAGGGTCTATGTTAATTTACTGCAGGGTATCATAATGTACCCTCTGGTAAACTAACATAGCTGCTATTGAAAATGGCCATAGAAATCGTGGATTTACCCATTAAAAATGGTGATTTTCCATAGTTTTGTAAACGTTTACCAGAGGGTATCATAGATTTACATAAAATGTTGCTTCGAAAAATCCTTCGGAGCCTTGACATGACCAGCATTTTGCTGGTCCATTGGTAACGCAATGTTTTGACCCACACCCATTTTGTTGCTTGCTATAGTCAATGCATTGGTTTAAGGGCAAAATTACAGGACCCCCCCCCCCATATTTCATGGGAAAATCCTTGGTTTCTGGTTTCGATATTCCCTTTCACAAATCCATTGCTAATCATTTTCGGTGATGAACTCCCCATTAAAGTATGAAATCTCATTATATCGAGCGCCCTATTGTCAATAATTCTTCATGGTTAAAGCCTTCATTTTTCCGCAGAAATCCCTACCTTTGGTTTCAGACCCAGCAATTTTCTCTTTTCAGCTTTCGTCATGGGGTCAGGCGCCGGAGAACTCTCCCGAGAGGATTTCTTTCGCTGTGCGGATGCACAGTGCAAAAGCCTTGATGTCATTTAACATGACTAGCTGGAGAATATCACCTTTTGATGGGAAAATATGGTAGAATCAATGAGAATCATCTATATATATATATGATTTTCCGTTGCATAGCTTCTAGATCATTGAAAAAATCCAGTGGTTAGGATGGAGCGAAAAAAGAGCTATGGCAATTCCATTTTTTTCCTGGTTATGGAGCCAAGAAGCTACGTCATGGTGCAGTTGTGCAGCCATAGGGAAAGGAAGCCCCGCGCCCTTCAGGATGGTGCCCCCAAACGTGATGTGAACGTTGGTTTAGATTCAGCCCATGAACTATAGTTCGTTATATCTGCCATAAACCATAGTGAAATTGGAGTTATGTTCACCAACTTAGCTAACGAACTGGGGCACCACCTTGTTCAGATGCACCGTTTTTTTACCATTTTTTTGA